TCCAGTTTGTGTTCCTTTAATTCCCTTTTCTTGCCGAATAGCTCTGGCAAAGGCTTCCAATACTATGTTGAAGAGTAGTGGTAACAAACTGGACATCCCAGTCTAATTCCAGATTGTTGTAGAATGACTTCCAATCTTTCCCCATTTAGTTGATGCTGGCATTAGGTTTTTCATAAATTGCTTTGATTGTGTTGTAGAACATTTCTTTTATGCCTGTCTTTCTTAGGATTTTCAGCATAAGAAGTGGTGTTGAATTTTATCAAATGCCTTCTCTGCATCTATTGATGATCATGTGGTTTTTATTTTTCATTTTATTGCTGTGATGTAGCACATTTATGGATTTGCGAATATTAAACCTTTCTTGCATGCTTGAGGTGAATCCCACCTGGTCTGGGTGAATGATCTGCCTGATGTGCTGTTGGATCCTGTTGGCTAGTATTTTATTGAGGATCTTTGCATCTGTGTTCATCAAGGATATCGGTCTGTAGTTCTCTTTTTCTGTTGTTTCTCTGTTTGGCTTTGGTATTAAGATGATATTAGTTTCATAGAAAGTTTGGAAGAATAGCCTCCCTTTTTTTTTTTTTTTGATAAAGCTTGTGGAGGATTAGGGTAAGTTTCTGTTGAAATGTTTGGTAGAATTCAGCAGTGAAGCCATCTGGTCCAGGACTTTTCTTGGTTGGGAGGGATTTAATTACTGATTCATTCTCATTGCATGTTACCAGTCTATTTAGATTGTTAATTGCTTCTTGATTCAATTTTGGTGCATTGTATATGTTCAAAAATCTATCCATCTCTTTTAGGTCTTCTGTTTTGTTCACGTCTAGTTGCTTGTAATAGTCCCTAATAATTTTCTGTTATGTCTGAGATATCTGTTGTTATATTTCCTTTCTTGTCTCTGATGCTATTGATGCATATCTTCTCCCTCCTTTTTTTGATTAGTTGGGCTATTGGGGAATCTATTTTGTTGATATTTTCTAAGAACCAGCTCTTTGATTCATTGATCTTATGTACAGTTCTCTTGGCCTCTATTTGGTTTATTTCCTCCCTAATTTTGATTATTTTTTTTTCCTACCAATGTTGGGATTGCTTTGCTGTTGTTTTTCTAGTTCCATCAACTGTAAGGTTAGTTCATTTACTTGATGCTTTTCTAATTTCTCTTTTTTTTAAGATTTATTTATTTTTATTGTAAAGTCAGATACGCAGAAAAGAAGATCTTCTGCCAAATGATTTATTCTCCAAGTGGCTGCAACAGCCTGAGCTGAGCCAATCTGAAGCCAGGAACCAGGAGCTTCTTCTGAGTTTCCCACGAAGGTGCAGGCTCCCAAGGCTTTGGGCCGTCCTTGACTGCTTTCCCATGCCACAAGTAGGGAGCTGGAAGGGAAGTGAGGCTGCCAGGATTAGAACCTGTGTCAATATGGGGCCTGGTGTGTTCAAGGTAAGGACTTTAGGTGCTAGGCTACTGCACCGGGCCTGCTTTTCAAAATTTTAACATAAGCATTGACTGAGATGAGATGAACTTTCCTCTTAACACTGCCTTAATTTTGTCCTGTACGTTTTGATGTGTTGATATCTTCATTTGTTTGATTTTAATTTCCCATTTGATTTCCTCTTTAACCCATTGTTCATTAAGTAACATATTATTCAGTCTCCATTTGTCTGCAAATATTCCTGGGTGTTTTGACTTCTTGGTCTCTAGCTTCACTGCTTAATGGTCTGAGAAGATGCATGGTATGATTTTGATTATTTTTCAAATTTGCTGAGGCTTGTTTTATGGCCTATAACGTGGTGAATTCTGGAGAAGTTTCCTTGTGCTGTTGGGAAAAAAGTGTGTTTTCTGTAGCATGAGCGGTTCAGTAGATATCAGCTGTGTCCATTTGCTTTAGAGTCTGGGTGAGTTCTGTGTCTGCTGAGTTTGTCTCTCTGATCTGTCCATTGATGTTAATGGGATAAGGTCACCCACTGTGATTATATCAGAGTCTGTTTCTCCCTTTAAATGTTTGTTTCACCTAGCTAGATGCCTTGGCATTTGGCCCATATACATTTATTATGGTGATCTCTTGGTGAGTGGATCTTTTAATCATTATATGGTGTCCTTCTTCGTCTCTTAAATGTTTTTCACATCGAAGTCTGTATCATCTGATATTAGAATGGCTATACCTGCACATTTTTCCTTACCATTTGCTTGGAATATTCTTTTCCATCCCTTCACTTTCAGTTTCCTCTGATCTTTGTTGGTGAGATGTGTTTCCTATAAGCAGCAGAAACATGAGTTTTGTTTTTTGATCCAGTCCTCTAATGTATGGTGTTTGATTGATGAGTTTAATCCATTTAAATTCAATGTTAATATGTATTTTTCTTTGAGTCTTTTGTTTCCTTAAGTGGAATTTTTCTCCACATTTGCCTTTGGTTTTGGTAGCTGCTATTTTCTCTTTCACTAGAACATCTTTGAGTGACATTGGTAGGCCATGTTTATAGGAGGAGAATTCTTTGAGTTTTTCTTTATTGTGGAAGAATTTTATTCCATTTTCAGATACAAAGGAGAGCTTTGCAAGATATGTTATTCTGGGCTGAAATTTTTTTCCCTTTTACAGTGTGGAATATGTCACTCCATTCTCTCCTGGCTTGTAGTGGTTTCTCTTGGAGGTCAGCTGTGAGTTTGGTTGGGGTTCCTCTGTAGGTCACTTGATTTTTCTCATGTGCACATTTAAGGATTTTTTTCTTATATTCATCTAAGAGAGTTTGATTATCATGTGTCGTCATTTTTTTTAATGGTTTTCTCTCAATCTAATTATCTGTATGGTATTTTCCCTCCAGTCTGTAATATTGTAGTTTGGATTGCTGTCTTTCTTCAGTTTTGTTGATTCACTCCATTTAGAAACACTCCAGTGAAAATTAAGCATTTAGCATGTTTTATGGCTTTTACCAACTTTAATACTACTGCTTCTTTTTTAAAATTCTGAATTAAAATTACCCTTCAGCCAAGCTGTTACAAACCCTAATAGTTGCGTATGACATACAGATGTTCCTTGATTTTTGTATCACGTTACACCCTGATACACCCTTTGTGATGAAGATGTAAGTCGTGAAAGCCTTCAGTGTATCTAACTGAGCAGATATCCTAGCTTGGTTAACATAGCACACGGTGGTATATTGAGTGTTTACCGTCAGAATCACGGAGCCGATTGCTGTAGTGTGGTGCCATTGCCCCACATCACGAGAGCATGTGTCAAATATTGCTCAGCCAGATAAAGGTAGAAATTCAGAATTTTTTCTGAATGAATTTCATTTCCCCACCATTGTGAAAGCCAAAAATCTTAAGTCCGGGCATTGTAACTTAGTACCAATTACATTACTTTTTTATACACTTAGTCCTGGTTTCATGAGATCCCCTAAACCACTCTTTCCAGGATGCTTTAAGAGGCTTACTAAATTCAGCATCTAGTCATAGTCATTCTTTTTTTTTTTATAAGTATTTTTATATGTTTTTGAAAGGCAGAGTAAGAGCTGTCTTCCATCCATTGGATTGTTTATTTATTCAAAAAAATTTTAAAGATTTAGTTATTTTTATTGTGAAGCTAGATTTATAGAAAGAAGGAGAGCCAGAAAGATCTTCATCTTCTGGTATACTCCACAAGTGGCCACAATGGTCGACGTTAAACTGATCCAAAGCCAGGAGTCGGCAGTTGCTTCCATGTCTTCCACTTGGATGCAGAGTCCCAAGGCTTTGGGCTGTCCTCAACTGCCTTCCCAGGCCACAAGCAAGGAGCTGGATGGGAACTGGAGCAGGCAGGATATGAACCAGCGCCCATATGGGATTCCAGGTGTGCAAGGCAAGGACTTTAGCCAGTAGGTTACTGTGCTGTCCCCTTATCCATCCATTGGGTTATTTCACCAAATGACTACCTTTGTTTATTTCACCAGATATGACTAACTTTTTATAGTGGAAAAAAAAAAAAAGAATAAGTGAGGCGAAGGCAAGAGCCAGGAGTTTCTTCTAGGTCTCCTATGTGGGTACAAGAGCCCAAGCACTTGGTCCATTTTGGACTTTTTTCCCAGGCACTTTAGGAAAGAGCTGGATTGAAAGTGGAGCAGCTGGATTTGAACTGGTATCAGTATGGGGTGCGAACATTGGAGGTGGAGGCTTAACTATACTATGGTGCTGGTCCCATATTTGTCTTTTTTTTTTTTTTTTTTTTAAGATTGATTTATCTTGAAGGTAGTTACAAAAAGAGAGGTCTTAGGTCCTCTATACTCTGGTTCAGTCCCAGATGTTCACAATTGACAGGCCAGGGCCTGGAGCTTCTCGCATAGGCCCAAGAGCTTGATACATCTTCTGTTACTTTTTCCTAGGCCTTTAGGAAAGGTGCTTATTGGGAAGTGGAGCAGTTAGGGCACAAACCAGCACCTATATGGAGTGTTGGCATCACAGATATTGGCTTTAACCATGATACCACATTGCTGGCTCCAGGATGGACTTCTGATACTATCTTTTCAAGCGTCTTCTTTTTAGCTACTTATCCTCTCTGTATCTATCTTTTTTCTCCTCATTTCTTTGGGAGAATGTGGACTGAAGAGGTTATTTTGAATTAAAATCAAAACACCGAGGAAGTTGGTAGAATTTGGAGATAATTATGTTCTGTCAGATTTCTCCTTGAATTCTGAGTGTTGGGTATGTGGCATAATGGTTAACTTGCCCCTATCTCATTTTGCAGTACCTGAAATCGGTAACCAGCTTGATTTCTGTTTTTACTAAAGTGTACCCTAGAAGGCAGCCGATAATATTTTATGTAATTGGATACCTGCCACCCATGTATGAGATCTGAATTGAGTTCCCACCTCATAGCTTTTGCTTGAACATTGTGGATATTTGGGAAATGAATTAGCAGATCGGGAGCTCTCTCTGTCTCTCCCCAGCCTCTCTTTCCAGCCTTTCTTCTCCCTTTTCCTGTTTCATAGATGAATAAACAAAGGAATGAATATATTCTTCTTAATATTTCTAGGAAGAATATAAAAAAGCACCAGTGTGAAGTCGTCGTTGGAGCACAGTGTGGCAATGCAGTGTTAAGAGGAGCACACATCTATGTCCCAGGAATTGTGTCAGCTTCAAAATGTAAGTGCAAGTTTCCTTAAAAATAAAAAAGTTCTCTAAAAAGTATGTGTATTGTCAAACAGAAAACTTGTTGAATTATCTTTCAGATACATTTCACTTTGTGTTTGTCGGATATTTTCTACATTTCCCATTTTATTTACCCAGAGATGATTATTATCCAAGTAAGGCCTAACAAATTAGGCCTCTGTGTCAAATGTTTTTCTTCCACAAAATGATGTATTTGCTGATGTTTACTTATGGTTTCCTTATTGATGAACACAGAGAATTTAAAATGGTGGATTGGGTGGGCCTGTGAGCCCCATTGGGGGCTGATTGCAGCCTTGGCTCCCTGGCACCACGCTGGTGGTGTCCTGGCAGTGTGGGCTTGCAGGTGTCCTGTGAATTGCACAGGCAAGAGTGTATGGGGACCTGGGGGCTCACATCTAGGCACGCAGAGTGAGTGGGAATTTTTTTCATGTGCTTGGTCCTCAGCAGAATGGGGGAGGGGAAGGAGAGCCCTAGATCAGCACGCTGGCTGGGTGTGCTGGTGAACTGGGCTTGGGAAATTTTGAATGTGTCTGGATTTCAGGTATGCGCAGGAATCAGGTCCCAGGTTGGTGCATATGCCAAGGGCTTGGGGTCCTAGTAGGTGGGCAGAGCTTTGGGCCAGCACCCCTCCCTGCTGGAGGACTGGGCTCCAGAGGACTAAGCTGGAGAGCTCATTTGCTCCTGGGCTCAATCCCTGTGGCAGAGGCAGGAGGTAGGAAGATGTGTGGGAGGGAGGACCACTGAGGGAGTATGTGGCAGGCAAGGAATGACCTCTGAAGGACTTGCATTGACAAGGCCACTGTACTTACAAAACTAGGCCTCCTCTGTAGCTTGGAGCAGTGGTTGGCATACCCAGATGCACATGGAGGATACGGCAATCCATTGCGGCCTGTAGAGGACATCTGGTACCATAGCAGAGTATGGAGGGCAGAACAAATTGGACAACTATCTCAGCCAAGTGTTGAGAACAATTATCTGGGCAAATGGAGTCTCCAGGTGGATTATATCAGTCAGTGGACCTTGGAAGGATTTCCTCATCCTTGGAGCAGAGATCGACAGCATTCCAGAACTATTAAAACTGCGTAAGCTGAACTCTTGGAACATCCACCACATCAGGGACCATGGGATGATATTGGGTGGCCCTTCCCATTCCAGGTACTGAGGCGGTTGGGAGGCGGGGTACGTGTGAAGTCCATGGTCTGACCACCAGTCTTGGATGTGAGACCCCAGTTCCCCACATGCCCCCATCTTTGCCATCTGCAGACCCCTGCAAGTCCATACTCCAAATCCCTGCAAGTGTGCTACCGGGCAGCCAGTGAGCTTCCCCTGGTGCCATTGGCACCCTGGGCTGCCCAACCCAGGTATTGCCTAACCCAGGCCCCCTCCAACTCCCTTCCCTCCCCCTCCTCCCCCCTTCTGCACCAGGGCTCACAGACCTACCACACAGGCTTTATTATTTGTTGATTTAAAACATTTTTTTATTTAAGCTGAAAAAGAAAGATCCTCTCTCTGCTTGTCCACTCACAAATGGCTAGCTGCCACAGCTGGAACTGAGCCTGTCTGAAGCCAAGACCCTTTTTTTGGTTCACCGAAAATTGAAAACAGCATAAAAATATGTGGTTGCTTTATTTTAATGTTTTTGCTGTAATTCTACTGGAAAAATACTGTTCTGATACTTCTGTGAGTTTTGTTTTAGGTTAAAACGGTAAATGGGCAGATTAAAGAGCCCAGGTCATTCTGTGGTTGTCAGATATGTTACTTCTCTGTTGAATTTTATAGGTTTGAAAATATGTTTAACAGTCCTTATCTCAATAGGGTATTGGGTGATCTGTATGGACCCAAGAGCTTCCTCTGAGTCTCCCATGTGGGTTTTGGGCCATCCTCTGGTGCTTTGCCAAGCCATAAGCAGCAAGCTGAATGAAGAAATTGAGTAGTCAGAGCTTGAACCAGTATGCATATGAGACTGCAGCGTCACAGAGAATTGGCCTACTATACTACTATGATGGCCCCATTGTATGAAATGTTTTAAAGAGTAGTATTAAGTTGGTGGAAATTGTGTAAAAGAGATTTTTCTGTGCTCAGCTAGGTGTTTTCAGTTGAGGTATGATATTTAAAGACATTTTTCCCCTAAAAAATATTGTTAGATTGATTGTTAGAGAATATGTAAAAATCAGATGTTAAATTTTTCATTAGGGATTACGTTGAGTTAGTGTGCCTTTTGGCAGTACTTCATATTTTTCATGTGCCCAAGACTGCCAGTATAGCTTAAAGAATTTCATTGATTTTCTTTAAAGCATAGCTTGAAATAACATGAGTTTCTTCTTTGTCTAGTTATGAAAGCTGGAGATGTTGTTTCGGTATACTCTGACATTAAAGGAAAATGTAAAAAAGGAGCCAAAGAATTTGACGGAACAAAATTATTTCTTGGAAATGGGGTTTCGGAACTAAGTCGCAAAGATATCTTCAATGGGCTGCCTGAACTGAAGTAGGTCATTACATGTTGTATGTGAAATTCATGCACAGCTTTTTTATGACACATTTTCCTATGAACTTATTGAAAGCCTGTCATATCTAGAGAAGTTATTTTACTTGAAAGGCCGATGTAAACTTACCCTGCTAGTATTAAGTGAGATGCAAACCACCTATGAGATGTTTCCTCTGCCAGGACCTACTTTGAAGCTGGTAGACCTGCTGTGAAGTTATCTTTCATACAGTTTGAGGACTCTATCATTGTTTCTCTCTCACTCTTCCTCCCTCCCTTTCTTTGGCTTCTTCTAGTCTGTTATGGTGATATTTCAGTAACTTGATGGAAAATGTAATTAAAATATTGTATCGGTGCAAACAAATGTTGAAATCCATGCATAATTCTTATTATAAAACACATTTTCCATACACTTTTAGAGACTTTTCATATGCATTGTGCTTTTTATTTTTTTGAGTGACAGTGTTAGTACTCCGAGAACTTTGGATGGTGTCTGTGAGTCTTAGTCCTGTCTTTCTGAATTCTAACCTTTCTACTGGCAAGTTGCACTGTCACTCATGAAATGTGACAAAGATAGAAAAAACTTATCTTGAAATCAAAACAGACTGGGACCTAGTCTAAAGAGATGAAAGGAGGGATGGGTGTTTGGTATTCTGATTAAGATGCTGCTTGGGATGCCAACTTCCCATTTCAGAGTGCTTGGTTAATGTCATACCTCTGTTGCTTCCACTGCAATTTCCAGCTGTTGGACATTCTGGGAGGCTGCCTTGATCTTGCCATCCATGTTGGGAGAGTTGGTTTGAGATCTGGGGTCCTGGCTTCGGCCTGGCCTGGCCCCAGCTGCTGTAGTCATGAAGGGAATGAAGCAGTGGATAAAAAATCTGTTTGTGCTCCATTTCTTTTTCAAGTAAAGTTAAAAATATTGAAATCTAAAACACAAGAAAGCACTTCATTTTCATTCATTAGAAACAGGTGTAAAATAGAATACCTAACAAGCTGCATCATTCACAAAATGTTTATTGATAGAGAAGTTAATAACCACTCATCAGCGTGATAGCTGGAAGATGAGAGTGTTCAGGAAATGAAATTGGGTCTTTACCTTTCAGTTTATTCAAATCTGTGAATAAATTAATTCCTTTGTACCTAAGTGATAGATCTGTATTACCTTGTCTCTTAATTCTGTTGGCCTCCTACTCCCTACAGATGAAAATTCAGAAATAATTCTCAGCGTTGTGTTGAATAAATGCAGTTTTTTAAGAAAAAGCAGAGAATCTCCTATTTAAGGTTGTACTTGTGTATGTTCTTAGAAATGTGTTTATAGACTTTGTAATTTATACTAACGTTAGATTTCCTGCTTTCCAGGGGAATAGGGATAAGAATGACAGAACCATTGTATCTCAGCCCTTCGTTTGACAATGTGCTGTCCAGTTACTTATTTTTACAGGTAAGTATTTCTAAAAGTCAAATATTCAGTGATTTTGAAACATACTACAATGAATCATTGAAATTGAGGTTTTTCCTTTCATTAACACTTTGTATTTACGTTTATATTATGGTCTACTTTTTATTGAAGCAATGAGGAAAAGATATAGATAAACTTTGTTAATTTTAAATTTTTTAAAATTTTCCTTTGCTCATGGTAACTAATAACTTGCCAATAGTAAGGCTTTCCATTCAGGAATAGTTTACTAATCTTTAAATAATGTGTGTGTTTTACATACATAGTGTTCTGTTAATAACCCTGAGTAAGATTCAGATGGTTTGTGTCCTATAAAATCTTTGTTAGGATGTTATCAATGAAAGTGATTTGACAGTTTATCTTCCCTTGTTCTAATTATTAAGGTCTTTGATGTACTTTAACATATTTTTTATGTTACACTGTGCTGATTACATGGTATGAGTATTATTTTGTTCTCTGTCTAATAAACACCTGGAGAGGACCATATCTGTTAATGTTTTTTGCTAAGGTCACACTAGCAGTAATTGGTAGTATTTAAATGCAGGCTTAAGTTAAGGTGCCATTAGTTCTCAGTATTGAATCTTGGAGTTGTTTCTGGTGTGAGCAAGCATAAAAAGTTATATCTGAAATCTAATTTTACATTTAATGATGTAATACATTGGGCTGTAGAACCTAGTATATAATTGCTTGTGAATCTTTTTGTTGTTGTTGCTGTTTAGTTTTTGCTTGAAAAAAATTCATGGAAGATGGAATTAAAGATTGATTTTTTTTTTTGTGCAAAAAGTTTTGAAAGATTGTCCAAAAACTAGTCAACTCTGTGTTGTGAAAAAACTATGAATAGATTTAAAAACCTTTTGCATAGATACAAACTTATTTCTATTCTTCCATCAACTTTTTCAGGTACCCACTGCATAAACCATTTTTGAACATTGTGGTTATTTGATGTAACCCAGAATCATTGCTAGTGATATCTGGACTTCTTTATATTAATAACAATTAGTCATGCAGTATTATTTTTCTTTTAGATTTGACACTAAGGGATGAGTAATCTGTTCATCCCAGAATTAACATTGATTTAGGAATCAAGTATAAACTGTAGTTCAGCACAAAATTTCTTTTTTCTCTTGATGATACCTTTTGTTACATCCCCAACCCACTGTTCAGCTGTCTCTAAACTCAAAAGCCGCTTGATGATGACTTTATCAGCTATAAAATTGGTAATCATTTTGTGATTCATAATACCTAAACAGCATATGCAACTGTGTTTGTCACCTAATGGCAACGGACATGCAGCGTGACCACTGAAGTAAAGCTTTGCTACCTGAGGGAGGAATTTAACCTTTTATTATTTCTCTACAGGAAGCTGTTTGATTTTATGTACTGTGTTTTAGTAGGCATCAGTCAGTGAAGCTTATTAAAAATGGCAATAGCTAATACTCAGTGTGTATTGTGATTTGTGGACTGTTTTGTGTATCATTGTATTTGCTTCTTAAAAACCCCTTGGGCCCGGCACGATAGTGTAGTGGTTAGGGTCCTCACCTTGCATGCGCCAGGATCCCATGTGGGCGTAATCCCGGCAGCCCCACTTTCCATCCTGCTCCCTGCTTGTGGCTTGGGAAAGCAGTCAAGGATGCCCAGGGCCTTGGGACCCTGCACCCACTTGGGATACCAGGAAGAGCTCCTGGCTCCTGGCTTCAGATTGTCTCAGCTCCAGCCATGGCGGCTGCTTAGGGAGTGAAGCATCAGACTGAGGATCTTCCTCTCTGTCTCTCCTCCTCTCTGTATATCTGATTTCCAATAAAAATAAATAAATGATTTTTTTTTAAATAAAACCCAGTTGGATAGATAAGGAAAAGGAGGCCTAGGAAAGTGAAGTGCATAGCACATGACAGATAAAGAATGATTTTTCAGTTATGAGTGGTTTGCCAAGTGCTAGGTAGATAGAAATCAACAAAGCCAAAATTTTAACCCAGATTTTTCTGATTTTAAGCCTATGTTTTTTACACTGTGCCAATTATCCAAACAAGACCCTTGGCAAACCTGCATGTATAGCAGCTGCAGGCCCCAATTTGTAATTGCTGAGTCCCAAGCTGAAGGAGTTGGGGCTGCTAGAAATTCATATTCTATGCTTTATAAGTGTTTATTTTGAAATTTGTAATGAGTCTGTGGCCAGTGTTTACTCTAAAATTGGTACATCTTTTCCATATTGAATCTTGCTTTATAGAAACTAATTCTAAACCCTAAGATCTTAAATATTTGTTTTATTGGAAAGGCATATCAGATTTACAGAGAGAAAGAGAGAAAGAGTCTCCATCTGCTGGTTCACTCCCAAATGGCTGGAGCTGAGCTAATCTGAAGACAGGAACCAGGAACTTCCTCTGGGTCTCCAATGGGGGCAAAGGGTCCAAAGGTTTTTGGCCATCCTCTGCTGCTTTCCCAGGCCACAGCAGGGAGCTGGATGGGAAGTGGATCATCCAAGACACAAATTCATTGGCCCAAATATTACCAAGTGAAATTTAAGTAGTTTAGTTCAGTGCAGATTAGGACCAAATGATAATTTACCATGGGCGCACAGGAAACATTTATCAGAGGAATGTGAATTTTTTTTACATTTGTTATTGACCTTGTTTTATTTGCTAATTTGGCTTCCCAGAGGTCCACAGTTGCCAGAGCTGGGCCAGTTCAAAGGCAGGAATCAGGAACTCCATGTGAATTTCACACAGGGTGACAGGGAAGGGGGAGAAAGGGGAAGAGAGTGAGAGAGACTCATAGACACACATCCATCTTTCATCTTCTGGAAGCCCGCAATAGCCAGAATGGCTTAGATGAAAGCCAGGAATTAGAAGCTCCATCTGGCTTTCTTTCTTTTTTTTTTTTTTTTTTTATTGGAAAGGCGAATATACAGAGAGGAGAGACAGACAGGAAGATCTTCCGTCCAATGATTCACTGCCCAAGTGAGCGCAACGGGCCGATACTAAGCTGATCTGAAGCCAGGAGCCTCTTCCGGGTCTCCCACGCGGGTGCAGGGTCCCAAAGCTTTGGGCTGTCCTTGACTGCTGGATGGGAAGCGGGGCTGCCGGGATAGAACCGGTGCCCATATGGGATCCCGGGCGTGCAAGGCGAGGACCTTAACCACTGCGCCACTGCGCCGGGCCCTCCATCTGGCTTTCTAACGTGAATGGCAGGAACCCCAGTACTTGGGCCATTATTTTCTGCTTCCCTAGGTGATGCGATAGTAGGGAATTGCATTTGCCTGGACTAGAATTAGCACTCTGATAATCGTTGCTGGTACACAAGTGGAAGCTTAACCCAATGGTCTAGCGGCCAAAGTACCAGCCTTACACATGCCAGGATCCCATATAACCCCTGGTTCTAATCCCTGTGGCCCTGCTTCCTATCCAGCTTGTGACCTGGAAAGCAGTCCAGGATGGCTCAAAACCTTGGGACCCTGCACCTATGTGGGAGACCCAGACGAGGTTCTTTGCTCCTGGCTTCAGATGGGTCCAGCACCGACTTTTGTGGTCACTTGGGGAGTGAATCATTGGACAGAAGATCTTCCTCTCTGTCTCTCCTCCTCTCTGTATATCCGACTTTCTAACAAAAATAAATCTTAAAAAAAAAACCATGCTAGTCGAGGACAGCCCAAAGCTTTGGGACCCTGCACCCGCGTGGGAGACCCGGAAGAGGCTCCTGGCTTCGGATCGGCATAGAATCGGCCATTGTGCTCACTTGGGGAGTGAATCATCGGACGGAAGATCTTCCTCTCTGTCTCTCCTCTCTGTATATCCGCCTTTCCAATTAAAAAAAAAATAATAAAAATAAATCTTTAAAAAAAACCATGCTACAAATCACATAATTATTCTCACCCAATTTTAACTAATCAGTCTACTCTTCATTAAAATTTCCTTCTGGAGTTAACATCGATTGGTGATTTTCTTGGAACAAGCCATTACTGTTACAAAATAATGGCTTTCCAGTTACAGCATCCTCTCCACATTTAGCAGCCAGTGTTTGACATTTTAATCTAAGGTCTCAACCCTTTTCCCAAATGAATTATTTAGTAACAATGTAGACAACCAAATTCCTATTTTCAAGTGGTTTGTAATTCATTACTGTATTATGTAGTTTGGTGCTCATTTTATCTCAGATTTAGCCTGGAGGAGTCTGTTCCTTATTTCATTTTAATCCACATAGGTCTATAACAGTTTTCCTAAACTTTAATGTACAAATAAAGTAACGTAAAAATTTTGGAGTTTATTAAAATGCAGGTTCTAATTTGGGGGCTTGAATGGATCCTGAGACGCTGTACAGATTGAGCATCTCTAATCTTAAAGTCCACAGTTTACGGTTTTCTGGGATCCAAAACCATTTGTTGTGCTAGAAGGTTTTAGAATTTGGATTTTTTTTTAAAATTTAGAAATGTTTCACTGATAAAACGTGTACAAATATTGCCAAGTCTGAAAAATTCTGAAATTTGAAATAATTATGATCTTAGCGTTTCTTTTCAGATAAAGGAAACTCAACCTGTGTTTCTAGCAAGTTCTCAGGGACATTTGAATGACAAAGCTGTGGGAGGATCTGAGAAGACAGTTATTTTCCAGAAGCAGAAAGCTTCCTTTTATGTTTCAGACCTTGCTGTTATGTTCCTGGGGTTTTTGCATGGTAGAACTGATAATTTATCTAAATGTGTGTTTTGTAAACTGAGATCTTTGAAGTATCTAAATAGGAAACAATCTCTGTCATTTTGCGGCTTCTTCATGTCACCTCTTGTCTGTCATAGTGTACTGGTAACTTTAGTGTTCTGATTTGTATAATTAGTGCTCTGCTGTGTTTTCTGCCACCAGTTTGCCTTGAGTGCCAACTGCTGTATGTTCAACATAATTGCTTTTGTCTTGTAAGAATGCGTGCAGATCAGCAATGCTATTATATTACCTTCACCAGTATCTAACTTCTGATAGAGGAGAGAGCTTATTACTTTTTTAACTCCAAAGTAGACAGTAGTGTGTGGTATACATAGAAGGCATTTTTAAAGTTCCATAGCCTAAATGAATACAAAAACTTTCCTGTTTGTATTTCTTAATAATAAAAGCACTTACAGGGTTGAACTGTGTAGAGGTTATGCATTTTGGTCAGTGCGTGTTTGTCAGAATGTGGTAATAGTTTGTGAACTTGTGAGCTTTGATTTATTATTCTTAGCTTCCTCCTTACTGAGGTGGGAGTGTATACAAAAAGACCTCACCTTCCCAGGCCGTCTGACCACAAAAAGAGCAGGTTTCCTGGGTGTAGGTATGCACTAAGGACTACCTTAATTGTCATTTGAGTGTGATACCTACCGTAGCCAAAAGGAGAAGCTAGCTGGTTTCATCCTAGTTTTTATCTCATTTACACATCACCCCAATAGCTTAATGGATTTATTTTCACTCACAGATAAACGGTGGCTGATGATCTAACTTTTTTGTAGTAGTCTTTATTCCAATCTTCAGAATTTCTCTGGCAGGAAGATAAGTGCATCTAGGGACTTGTTCCCCTTCCTAGTTTTTCTGATAGCTATTTACTTAAATCAGCCACATAATTCCTCTGCTTCTCAGTTTTCCTCATTAGAAAGAAAAATTATTCCCACCTCATGTCATAAAAAAGTGGTGAAGATAAATGGGAGTTGGAATACATAGAAACATGGAGTCTTTTGAAGTAGTTGTTCTAGCAGAAACCAGATGCTGTTCTGTCTTGTTGTTCCTACAGTTTTTGCCATTTGAAGCTTGCGCCAACAAAGCGGTCTATGACACTCTTACTTTCAATCTTACATTTTGCCTTCTTTGACTTTCTCAAAATAATGTAGAACAAGATGAGCTGATCTTTGTACAAAATAACATTCTTGTTGTGTTTTAAAGATTATAAGGAAGAATACACAGACCTTTCATCTGCTGGGCTCTCATATGACCACAACAGATGGGGTGGGCAAGACCTACCATGTGCCGGAAGCTTTCTTCTGTTTCTCCTGTGCAAGTTCAGGGGCCCAGGAACTTGGGCTATTTTTGCTGTTTTTTCAGACATAATAATGGAGCTAAGTCAGAAGTGGAGCAGCTGGGACTCGAGTTGGTGCCCAAAATGGCATTGCAGGCCATGACTGCCATCTTGGCCAATATGCTGGCCCCAAGATAACGTTCTTTTGTTTGTTTGTTTAAGATTTTATTTATTTTTATTACAAAGTCAGGTATACAGAGAGGAGGAGAGACAGAGAGGAAGATCTTCCATCCGATGATTCACTCCCCAAGTGAGTGCAATGGCCGATGCTATGCCGATCTGAAGCCAGGATCCAGGAACTTCTTCTGGGTCTCCCACACGGGTGAAGGGTCCCAAAGCTTTGGGCCGTCCTCGACTACTTTCCCAGGCCACAAGAAGGGAGCTGGATGGGAAGTGGAGCTGCCGGGATTAGAACCGGCGCCCATATGGGTTCCTGGTGCGTTAAAGGTGAGGACTTTAGCCGCTAGGCCACGCTGCCGGGCCCTTGAGTTTCATAATTTTTAATACATCTTCAGGTGTTAACCAGAAATAGCCAGTAATTTTTTTTTTCCTACTGAAATGTGGAAGATTATCTAAAACTTTTTAAAAGATATCTTTTTTTCTTTGAAAAGCAGGTTTGTAGAGAGAGAGAAAAATCTTCTGTCTGCTGGTTCACTCCCCAAGTGGCTGCAATAGCCAGAGCTGATATGATCTGAAGCTGAAAGCCAGGAGTTTCCTCCAAATCTTCCATGCGGGTACAGAGTCCCAAGACTTTGGGCAGTCCTTGACTGCTTTCCCAGGCCGCAAAGAGGATGGGAAGTGGAACAGCTGGGCCACAAACCAGTGCCCATATGGGATCCCAGCTTATGCAACGCGAGGTTTTAGCCACTGAGCCATTGTGTCAGGCCCTTGTAAAATCTGAATCATACTTGTAGCTTAGAGCTCTTGGCTCCCAAAATATTGAGAGCTATTAATGTTAAAATATTGAAAGCCTTTAGAATTAAGAACAGGTAATTTTTTTTTGCTCATACTCAGAAAATGCTGCTGTCAGGGAAGAAATATGAAGCTGAGAAATAAATTCTGCATGTTCATGTATAGGTGTTGTGTGTGTATGTGTGAGTGTGCTTTCAGATTGTTGGATATGTTGGAAATTATTTCCTAACATTACACAAAAACTAGATCCTTGGCATACTTGAGGATAATGTATGGATCCTATCCAAAGATTTCTTCATGTTATTTGATTCTGAAATTAAAAGTGATTTAGAGAGGTGGGCATTTTACTTAGCAGTTAAATACTCCATTGAGAGACCCACATCCGTATCAGAGTACCTGTTCCAGAGTCTAGCTTCTTGCCAGTGTGCACTCTGGGAGGTAATACTTGGCCCTGCCACCCATGTGGAAGACATGGATTAAATTCCTGACTTGCAGCTTCCATTTGTCCCAGTCCCATCTATTAGAGGCATTTGGGGAGTGAATTGCAAGATGAGGTTTCTTAATCAAAACAATAAGCATTTAGGATCAATCACTGCTAATTGTTTACAGTTTTTCTTTATAGAACTTACCATCTGCTGTAGTAGCTCACGTGCTGGATCCTAAACCTGGAGAGAAGATTCTAGACTTGTGTGCAGCACCTGGAGGCAAAACAACACACATTGCAGCACTAATGCATGATCAGGTGAGACTGCCTTCATTACCAAAGTACTCTCAACATGTTAAATATCTTAGTACCTGGTGAAACGTACCGATATCAGTAATTGATTTATTTCACATTTAGCCAAAGTAAAAACTATTTGTCATTCACCACCGATGTCAAATTTAGTTGACTTATTTTCTGTGATGTTTCTCCAGATGTTCATGGATCCCTAATTTGTTAACACTTTTGTAACTATAATTCATTCCTTACAAAATAAAAGAAAATTAACTTTTTCAATTTTGAAAATACCTTTATTTATTTGAGAAGTAGATAGTTAAGCAGGAACTCAGTCCAGGTGTCCCATGTGGCTCGTAAGGAGCAAATTGTTTGAATTAGCACCACCATCTCACAATGTCCGTATTGATAGAAAGCTGGAATCTAATATAAAATTGGCTTTAGATGTGTCAGGAGACAGTGTATTCATAAAAATCAGAAGATCATGAGTGCAATTATTGATTGGTTAGTTGACCTGCTGAGCAAGTTGAAATTGTCTTCTGACATTTGTTTTCCTGGTAAAATAGGAAGCAAGGTCGTGAGATGAGCATGGGCATAGTGCATAAACGTTTTGAGAAGGAGTGAAATGTAAATCTGGAAAAATGGAAGTGAGAATGGCCACAGATACATTGTAAGACTCTTAAGTTTCATTAAATGAGAAATGTTTAAGTAAATGTGGTGAATTGATAGATTTGAATTTGGTGAATAACTGGTTTAACCATGACAGTGTTTTGTCATGTGTATGTGTAAGAAAGAGAGGCTGGGGAGTCACTGTGATATGCCATGGAAAGTGAGATAGATTAAGAATGTAAAAAAGACATATAAAGGATAAGTCAGTAGAGCGGTTTGTTTTCTGAATCAGCTTAGAGTTATACAATGATAGGAATTGTTAGGATTGAAGGAAATCAGCAGTTACCTTTCTGCTGTCAACTTACAAATAAGGAAATATTACCTGTCTGCAAGAATACTTCCTGACATAAAATAATCCTCCACAAGGTTTAGGAAAGCTCTTATGCTTTATTTGATATACTTTTTTTAAAAAATATTTATTCATTTTCATTGGAGAGAGAGACTTACGGAAAGAAGAGGCAGAGATCTTCCATCCGCTGGTTCACTCCCCAAATAGCTGCAACAGCCAGAGCTGAGCATCTGAAGCCAGAAGCCAAGAACAACTTCTGGGTCTCCCAAGGCTTTGGTCCCTTTACTGCTTTCCCAGGCTACAAGCAGGGAGCCGGATGGGAAGTGGAGCAGCCAGACCATGGATTGCCACCCATATGGGATGCTGATGCTTGCAAGCAGAGAATTAGTTGAGTCAGTTTGTGAACATTTGGAAAGTGAATTTGAGGAAGGAAAATCTCTTTGTCTCTCCCTCTTTGTAAGTCTGCTTTTCAAATAAGTCTTTTTTTAAACAAGTGCTGTATTGAGATAGCCTAGCAGCTAAAGTCCTAACCTTGAATGTACCACGATCGCATATGGGCACAGGTTCTAATCCTGGCGGCCCCACCTCCCATCCAGCTCCTTGCTTGCCGCCCAAAAAAGCAGTCCAGGATGGCCCAAAGTCTTGGGACCCTGCACCCATGTGGGAGACCCAGAAGAGGCTCCTGGCGCTTGTCTTTGGATTGACTCAGCTCCAGCTGTTGCTCTCACTTGGGGTCTGAATCATCTGACGGAAGATCTTCCTCTCTGTTTCTTCTCCCTTCTGTATATCTGATTTTGCTATAAAAATAAATCTTTTTCTTTTTTTTTTAATGCTGTATTTAAATAACCCAAACTCTTGGCAGCATACAGCTAACACATTTTTCTTCAGTTTTTGAATTGTGGTAGGTTACAGGTAATAGAAAGATTTACTGTCTTAGCCATCTAATATGTAATTCAGGGATGTCAAGCACATTCATTTACCCAGCATCAACATCCATCTCTAGACAGTTTTTTTTGTCTTCCAAAGTGGAATCCCTGTATCTATTGTAATGACTTATTCTTCAGAGACCTTGATAATTACCATTCTGTTTTCTGTTCTTGTTTTCGGTAATGTTTTGTAGTTCTCTACAGGTTGCAAGTGCAGGATCTCCTCCTATTTTGGTTGAAATTCCATTGTGTTTATATGTGTAATGAACATTTTTTTTCGACCAGTCATTAGTGTTAGTGAACACTTAGATTGGTTTTTATTTCTTGGCTGTTGTGAATGGTGGTGTATTAAAATGGAGTGCAGGTGTCTCTTCAACATAGTGATTTTATTTCCCAAGGGTAGACACTCAGTGGTGAGATCATGTGATAGATCAAGTTTCAGTGTTTTAAGAACCTATATACTGGCTTCCATAATGGTTGTGCTAATTTACATTGCCACCAGTTGTTAAGAGTTCCTTTTTCTCCACATCCTCCACAGCACTTGTTACCCTTAACTTTTCAGTAATAGCCCTTGCTACTCGAGGAATATAGTATCTCATGGCGACTTGGATTTGCATTTTCTTGACAGATTATTTTCTTTGCATGCTTATTGGTCATTTACAGTTAATATTTTTTTTAAAAGATTTATTTTAATTATTTTTTTATTGGAAAGGCGGATGTACAGAGAGGAGAGACAGAGAGGAAGATCTTCCGTCCAATGATTCACTGCCCAAGTGAGCGCAACGGGTCGATACTATGCCAATCCGAAGCCAGGAGCCTCTTCCGGGTCTCCCACGCGGGTGCAGGTTCCCAAAGCATTGGGCCGTCCTTGACTGCTTTCCCAGGCCACAGGCAGGGAGCTGGAAGGGAAGCGGGGCTGCCGGGATTAGAACCGGCGCCCATATGGGATCCCGGGCATGCAAGGCGAGGACCTTTAACCACTTGCACCACCACGCCGGGCCCCATTTACAGTTAATATTTAGCTCAGGAATTTCTGGGGTCCAGGTGACCCTTGTGGACTTGCTCAGACACATAATGAGATGCAGGTTAGCCCAGCAGTTTTGAGAATCTCATCCCTGCTCTCTCTTCTTTTTTGTATGGTTTTGGCTTGTGTAAAGTGGCTTCAACTGAGACCATGAGGATGGCTCCGGTTTACGTGCCTCTTCCTACAAGCACCAATGGAGTAGCTTGGCAAATGAAGTTTCTTCATCACAGTAATACATTTGAACTTACTCTGGTTGTTTTTGACTACTTTTCCTGCTCAGTGTACTTTTTTAGTGGTTTTCCTGTTTATCAAGCTGGTAGCTGAAACAGTATTGTTAAACCTGGTGGCTTTTAAGAGCTTTCTTAGCATATTTTCTGTATTGTGGTCTTTGTACAGTTGATACATGTGTCATATAAAGGCAATGTATCTAAAAGGAATGAAAATAAGCAGATGAAAACAAGGGTTAGCTCCAGCATTTCCACAATATCATTTCATAGTGTGTGTTAAAATATCATGGGTGTCATGACATACTTTTCCTTTTAGATCTATTTATTTAAAAAATTAAGATTTACAGAAACCAGGGGAAGAGAGAGAGAGAGAGAATATGAATGTCTTTCATCTTCTGGTTCGCTTTCCAAATGACTGCAACAGCTGAAGCCAAGCCAGTCTGAAGGTGGGAGGAAGGAGCACTTCCAGGTCTCCCACACAGGTGCAGGGTCCCAAAGCTTTGGATCATCCACTACTGCTTTCCCAGTCAAAAAGCAGGGAGCTGGATGGGAATTGGAACCAGGACACGATCTGGCACCCATATGGGATGTTGGTGCTGTAAGATGAGGATGAGTCTGTTGAGCTGTTGTGACAGCTCCATGAAACATTCTTAAAGTTGTGATTTATTTTTATTGTTGACTATGGCTTAACCAAAGTGTTACCATGTAAGGTTATTTCTAAAGAAGATTTTTTTTTTATTTCTTTTAAAGGCACAGTTACAGAAAGAGATGTTGCATCTGCTGATTCACTCCTTAGGTGACCACAACAGGCAGTGATATAATTTTTTAGGCAGCTAGTTCAGGGTCAGGAGTTTAGACACTACATCACCTCCTCCTGTGTAATACTTTTTGCACACTTGTGCATCAAAGAATGCATACCTATCATTCCCTGGGACAGTGTTGCTTTGTTGCGGAAGAACTCCCCCCAGGCCGGATAAGGTCTGGCGCTTCTTTTGCTCTCATGCTTTTTTGCTCTCTTGCTCTCGGCCTGCCAAACACCTGCTTGCTCTCTCTCTTTTGAGGACAGACTCCTAGGACAGAGATAGTCCCTCAGCATAGCCCGCGTACATCTCTATTCCTCACCCTCCGTGAGTGAGTCTGTGAAGATGCAGATGCTAAGATGTTTTGTATTTCTTTTTGTTGTTGTTTTTTTTGTTTGTTTGTTTTTTTGTTTTTATTGGAAAGTCAGGTTTACAGAGTGAAGGAGAGACAAAAAGATTTTCTGGCCACTGGTTCACTCCCCAAGTGTCTACAATGGCCAGAGCTGAGCCGATCCAAAGCCAGGAGCTTCTTCCAGGTCTCCCACCTGGATGCAGCATCCCAAGGCTTTGGGCCATCCTTGACTTCTTTCCTAGGTCACAAGCAGGGAGCTGAATGGGAAGGGAAGTGAAGCAGTCGGGTTGAACTGGCACCAGTATGGGATCCCCTGGGTGTGTAAGGTGAGGACTTTAGCCACTAGGCTACTGTAACGGGCGTGATATTTTATATTTTTGATTTGTCTACTTTCCAAGAATTCCAGGAGAGGTGAAGCCTAGCAGTAATGGAATGTGGGCAGAGAATGTGGGAAGAAGAAGTGAATGTTTGCATTTTGTTCCTGTGTCCCCAAGTTGCTCGCTGCGTGCCTCTTAGGACAAATTATGTTGCTGAGGAATCTGGAACATAGGTCTTAAGTTTAATGGATGAATTTCTCTGTAATGACCATTATTTCTTCTTCTCTGGGTTCAGCTCAGACTGAAGTGCCACTGTGACTCTTCCTGTGCTAATTTCTGTTCTTATTAAACAGCTAGTAATTAGGAAGGTGCTACTTCAGATTGCTGGGTGGTTCCTAGGGTAGCAGGCACTGCCATCCCCAGGCCTGGCTAATAAACACTCTTTAGTACATCCTGCACCTGTATCACGCACTCTTGCACTTCACAACAGTAGGATTGGGCCAGATTAAAGAGACTCTTTGCAGAGGCTTCTTCCAGGTCTCCCACATGGGTGAGGGAGCCCAAACACTTGAACTGTCTTCTCCTGCTTTCCCAGTCACTTCAGCTGGGAGCTGGATTAGAAGAGGAGCAGCTGCAATTTGATATTTTTTTTAAGATTTATTTTAATTGGAAAGGCAGATTCACATAAAGGACAGACAGGTTGTCTGCTGGTTCACTCCCCAGGTGGTTTTTATGGACCTGAGATCTGCTCTGAAGCCAGGAGCCAGGAGTCTCTTCCAGGTCTCCCATGTGGGTGCAGGGTCCCAAGGCTTTGGACCATCCTTGACTGCTTTCCCAGGCCACAAGCAGAGAGCCGGATGGAAGGTGGGGCTGCTGGAATTAGAACCGGTGCCCATATGGGATCCTGGCATGTTCAAGGCAAGGACTTCAGCCGATATGCTACAACATTGGGTCCTTTACACTACTTTTTATACCAAAGCAGAACATCTTGCTTTGACGTGCAGATATTTCTTCCTTTACTGAAAGAATTCATATGTATTTTATGTATATAGTTCCCAGATATTAAAATGAGGGTAAGTTTCATTTGCATCTTTGAGACAATTTTTTCATTTCCTTTTTTTTTTCTTGTGGTCGAGACGATTTTCTTACAGCATTAGTTCATGTACTTGCAGATGTTTGCAAAGCACATCAAATTAATGATATGCAATTTTAACCTTGATGAATGTTTTACAGTTTCCTTAGAAGATTACAAATGCTACTCTTGTGTTTGAGTTTTGTTAATTAAAATAGCCAATAGGGCCCGGCGCGGTGGCGCAAGTGGTTAAGGGCCTCGCCTTGCACGCCCGGGATCCCATATGGGCACCGGTTCTATCCCGGCAGCCCCGCTTCCCATCCAGCTCCCTGCCTGTGGCCCAGGAAAGCAGTCAAGGACAGCCCAAAGCTTTGGGACCCTTCACCTGTGTGGGAGACCCGGAAGAGGCTCCTGGCTTCGGATCAGCATAGCATCAGCCGTTGCGCTCACTTGGGGAGTGAAATCGGACGGAAGATCTTCCTCTCTGTCTCTCCTCTCTGTATATCCGCCTTTCCAATAAAAAAATAAATAAATAAAATAGCCAATAAAAAGGTTGGTATTCTGGCAAAAATGTTTTTCTTGAAAGATTGGAGTATTTGATATAAATTTGATATACAGTTGGTTAATGTATTCAGCTTTAAAAATAGGGTTTGGCGGAAAGAGGCAAACCATAATTTTTTGCTGATTTTTCCACATTAATTTTCATGACTACTTTATACTTATTGCTGTAATGTCTGTCTTCCTCCGTCCCTTTCTTAGGGAGAAGTAATAGCACTGGATAAAATATCCAACAAAGTTGAAAAAATAAGACAGAATGCTTTACTGTTGGGACTGAATTCTATCAAGGCATTTTGCTTTGATGGAACAAAGGCACTTAAAGTTGATAAGATCCAGAATATAGAAGGTGAGTTATTATTTGTTTCAGTTAATAAATCACAATTGTATTTACAACATACAGTGTAATGTTTGAAATGCATATGCAGTGTAGAATGATTGAAACAAATGAATAGATCACTTTTTGTTGTAAAACATTTATAATGGACTGTATTAGCAATTTTGAAGTATAAAGTATTGCTAGCTGTCCTGTACAATAAATCTCAAAACATTATTCCTCTTAATAAAGCTTTGTAATCTTTAAATGGTATCTCCTCATTTCTTCTTCATCCCTAGCCTTTGGTAGCCACTATTGTACTCTTTTTGAGTTCAGCTTTTTAAGATTCCACATTTAAATAAGTCCATGCAGTATTTGTCTTTTTGTGTATTCTGTCCTCTGCATTCACTTGTTTCATGAAAAAGACAGAATTTGCTTTTTTTTTTAAAAAAAAAAAAGATTGAGTAGTGTTTTATTGTGTTAACTGTACCACATTTTCTTTAGCTGTTAATTTATACATACTTGAACTGATTCTTTATGCTGGGCATTGTGTAAATAACATTTGATGAACTTGGAATTCACATATCTCTTTAACAAGTTGATTCCATTTCTTTTGCTTACATTGCAGTAGTAATATGGCTGGATAATTCTGTTATTTTGAGAATCCTTCTTTTTATTTTCCATAAATTCCTACTAGTAGTGTGCAGGCATTTGCTTTTCTAATTGCTCTGACCCAGTTACCTTTTGTTTTGGTAATAGCCTGTCTGATAAGTGCAAAGTAATGTTTCATTACAGCTTTTAATTGCATTTTATTTTAATTTTAATTGCACAAATAATTTGTGATGTTGAGTGTTTTTTGTTGGCCATGTTTTCTTTGGAGAAATGTCTATTTAAGTCTGCCCTTTTTTTTAAGATTTATTTATTTTATTGGAAAGTCTGATTTTACAGAGAAAAGAAGAGACAGAGCAAAAGATCTTCCATCCACTGGTTCACTCCCCGAATGGGTGCCGTAGCATTGTAGCCATTCGGGGAGTGAATCAGCAAATGGAGAATCTCTCTCTCTCTCGGTGTATTTCTGCTCTTTATAAATGCAAAAAATAACTTTCTTAAGGGGAAAAAAATGCCTTCAGTGTTTTTTTCCCATTCAGAATAATAACTTGGTTTAATTTGTATATCTTTTATAATTGCAAAGTGTGTCCATTCATACCTAATTGGGCAGTTTTATCATGAAAGGATGCTAAATCCTATCAAGTGCTGTCTCCATATCTGTTGAGGCTAGTATATGGCTTTTGTGCTTCATTTTGTGGATGTGATATATGACATTGAATTCAAATATTGAACCATCCTTGTATCTGTGGGATAGATCCCGTTTGATTGTGGTGTATGATCTTTTTCAAAGTGTTGTTAGATTCATTTTGGTAATATTGTGTTGACAATGTTGGCATATGTTCAAGGTTGTTAGTCTGTAGATTTCCTGATGCTTTTAGTTTTTATCAGAGTGATACTGGCGCTTGAAAAAAAATCGTTGGCATTTGATACAGTTTTGTGTTGGACTGGTCCTCTTCCTGAGGTGCCAGCATCCAATAAAGGCACCGGTTTTGCGTCAGCTTCCTCCTTGTGACCTGGGAAAACAGTAGAGGATAGTTTAAATCCTTAGAGTCCTGCACTCATGTGGGTGACCCAGTGGACGTACATGGGTTCACCTCTGGTGCTTGTGGTCATTTGGGGAGTGAATGAGCAATTGCAACACCGCTCTCTTTATAAAATTTGCCTTCCAAATAAATAATAAAAGAAAAACAACAAAAAGTATTTGAATTCCATCCTTTTCCGTATTTCGGAATTGCTTAAAAAGTATTAGAGCTAACCAGTCCTGTTTAAATGTAAAAGATTTTAGTAAAGCTCTCATTTCTGTAATGGGAGACTCAATTATTGCTTCAATCTTTTGCTATGGATCTGTTTAGAGAGTTTATATCTTCTTGATTTAATTATGTTGGGCTATATGTATGTAGGAATTGATCAGTTTTTCTTCCAAGATTTTCCAGTTTGTTAACATAGTAAGTAGTTCTTCATAGCGTCCTATGATCCTATGAGTATTGGTTATATTATCTTCTATTTTGTCTTTAATTTTGAGTTTACCGTTTCTTCAATTCTGACTCTGGGATTAGTTTTTGTAAATATTTCAGATGCATCATTAAATCTTTTTTTTTTTTTTGAAGTGCAAGCAATTACTGCCATATACTTCTTTTTTCATACTGCTATTGCTAAATTTGCAGGTGTTGGTACATTTGTTTTCATTTTCATTTGTTTCAAGAAAACTGATTTTTATTTCTTCAAGGATCCATTGATTATTTTGTACATGTTTAATTTCCTGTATTCATATTCCTTTGAGAAGATATATGGCATAAGTCTTTAAAAATTTTACTGAGACATAGATTTTTCTATCTGTATATCTGACTTTGCCATAATTTTTTTTTTTTTTACTGAGACTTGAGTTATGGCTTAAAATATGGTATATCCTAGAAAATGTGCTAATTGGAAGAATATGAATTTTGTTAACTGTTGTGTGCCATATTCTTTCTTTCTTTTAGATTTTCCATGGGAGACTCAGATGAAGCTCCCAGCTCCTTGCTTCAGCCTGGTCCAACTTTGGCCATTGTGGCTATGTGGCTATGTGGATGGAAGATCTGTCTAACTCTAAATGCAATACTCTGTACCTGTCTGTCAGATTTATTTGCTCAGTAGCATGATGTATTTTTGCTGATATTCTGTTTGCATGATCTCTGGGGTGTTGAAGTCTGTCACTAATATTATACTGAAATCTACAACTTTTTTTTTTTGGGAAAGGGAGATTTACAGAGAGGAGATACAGAGAAAGATCTTTCGTCTACTAGTTCACTGTTCAAGTGGCCGCAGCAGCCAGAGCTGAGCCGATCTGAAGCCAGGAGTCAGGAGCCTCTTCTAGGTCTGCCACGTGGGTGCAGGGTCCCAAGGCTTTGGGTCATCCTTAACTGCTTTCTGAGGCCACAAGCAGAGAGCTGAATGAGAAACAGGGCTGCTGGGATTAGAACCGATGCCCAGATGGCATCCTGGTGCTTGCAAGGCGAGGACTTTAGCCACTAGGCTACCGTGCCAGGACCGAAATCTATCCCCTTCTTTAGGTCTGATAGTATTTGCTGTGTATATGTTGGCCATTTCTGTTATGTGCATCTGTATTTTTTTTTTCGTTTTTTTAAAGAATGTTTTTCTTTGAAAGGCAAATTTACAGAGAGAATGAAAGCAGGAATTCTTTAAAAAAACAAGCACTTTGCTTTATTTTTTTCTTTATGATTTTTATTTTTTATTGGAAAGGCAGATTTATAGAGAGGAAGAGGGAAAAAGGGAAAAGATGTTCAATCCACTGGTTCAACCCCCAAGTGGCCGCAATGGCCGGAGCTTAGCCAGTTCGAAGCCAGGAGCTTCTTCTGGGTCTCCTGCATGAATTCAGGGTTCCAAGGCTTTGGGTCATCCTTTACTGCTTTCCCATACTGTAAGTAGGGAGCCGAAAGGGAAAGAGAGTAGCTGGAACACAAACCAGTAACCATATGGGATGCTGACACTTACATGGTAAGAATTTGACCATTGAGCTACCATACCAGGCCCAGCAATAGATCTTCCATTTGCTGGTTTGCTGCCTAAATGGCTGCAATGTCCGGAGTTGAGGCCATCTGAAACTAGGAGCTTCTTCCAAATCTCCCCTGCACACAAGTGCAGGGCTCCCAGATGGGCCATTCTTCAGTGCTTTCCCAGGCCGTAAATAACAAGAGCCCAAGTCCAAGCACTAGCAGATATTAAAGTGAACTTGCCCCATTCCACAGAATGAATACTAGATATGGTGTGATGCGCACCAACAAGTGTGAGTCTGGTCCAGGTAGATTCTTGTGTACTGAAGGTTTTGATGACTCTCAGGGATATAGTACTAATGGTCAAAGTCCTGGAACTCCAGGAGACCTGTAGGTCCTAACCCACAGCTCCACAGAAGTGCCTTGTTACTCAAGGGATTGTGGGTAGGCAGTCACCAGTCTGATGCAGACGAGTCCAGGCAAAGTCCTCCAGATCCCACAAGTGAGTATGAATCGTCCCAAGTGTTCCAACACCAGAAGCCCCAGTGTCAGGTTTGCAAGCTACAGACATTACCCTTGGTTTTCAGAGGATGTGTAAAGGTGATGTTGGGGCTTGTGTTCAACCCCTAGCACCCATGTGTAAGAATTGCAGAAGGAGCTTCTGTAGTGTCCTGGTCCTGTGGAATTGTATATGGAAACTAGCCCTGAGAGCCGCAGACACTTCAGGAGTAGCTCTGGGGTTTATGGCAAGAACTCTTGTGGCTGCAGGAGTCAGGAGGTTCTGCTCTCTGCCCTGGAAAGTGTCCTTGCTGTCCCCGGAGGATTCTGGTTGTGCAGGGGCTGCTTACTTCCTCCTAACACAGAATTTACCAGCTTCTCAGCAGCAGCTCAGGTCTGACATATCATGGGCAGCGTGGATTCTGTTTTGGGAGCAGTTGTTTGGTGGACCCTCCGGGTTTGATTTAAAGTCCCTGTGGACTGTGGAATTCTACTGTAGTTAGGGCTGCTGGGTTGCAGTATTTTCTGCTTACTTCTTCCTGGCAAGTGATTGCAAGAAGTACTGGGCAGGAACAGCAGTGGGTCTGAGTGTATAGAAGAAAAAAGTAGCTTTTAAACTTTGTGGAAGGGATATATTAGTAATCTTGAGTTGATGGTTGGAGGAGCGTTGGTTATATGTACAAGATGGATTAAAGAGGTTAGTGTGAGGAATTAGACATGAAAATAGTTGAACGCAGATATAGATGAACATTTATCCAGTGGATGCTTAGATAAAGCTAATAAACTCAATAATGAAGATTTATTGCTCAGTATTATATGTTTAAAAACCTAAGACACACTAGCAGATTGTTAAATTTAAAATATTTAATAGAGGATAGTTAATGTTCATGATATACAAAGCTCTTCTAATTAGAAAGAACAAAACAACAGTGAAGAATATGTTCTTACTCAAAATCATATATATGATATATAAAATAATCAGTTTTCATGAGGATTTGGGGAAAATAAGTACATTCATGAGAATGAAAATAAAAACGGATACAGTTTTTGTAGATGATTTTTTTTCCCTAATGACTGCTAAAAACCTTGAAAACAACACTTAAACAACACTTTGTTTGAAAAGAATTTCTTGTAATACCTTTGGTAAGAAGGCAAGGATAACTGTGGTGATGAGTTACATTGGGCGTGGTTTAGGTCTAATGGCTTTGCAGTCCAAGAAGAGCAGTAGGGATGCTGCAGTGAAGCTTGGGGCAGTGCGGAGACAGCAAGAGATTTAAAAGGAGTGAACAATAATGTTGGCTTACAGGAAGAAAGCATACATAAATATGTTAGTAGCTGGCTATTTTTTTTTTCCTCCAGTAACATTAAATAGATCAGAAAGCAGAATGAAGAAAATATTGAATCTGAAGATAAACTTGGTGTAAGACTGAATACTAGGGAGTGGAGTATGACACATTCTGGATAATAGCTGAAACTGTTTTTAAAAAGTGTTACATTCTATATCAGTAGAACAAATAGTAAATGGTTCTGATTCTCTTCATAGGAGAACCTCCATTCTCGCCAGAATCTTTTGATCGAATTCTTCTTGATGCACCCTGTAGTGGAATGGGGCAGAGACCAAACATGGCTTGTACTTGGACATTGAAAGAAGTAACATCGTATCAGCCATTACAGAGGAAACTCTTTACAGTGGTATGTGATGATGCTTTGCTGTGCTAAGAAAAAGTTGAGCGTTTTTACTTTAGATCACTTAGGATAGTGTTCACAGCAGATTATTTCTAACAGCTAACAGATGGAAACAGCTCAAGAGTCCATATGTACAGATGGCATGTACATAGAAGGAATATTACTCAGTCTCCAAAAGAAATACAATTCTGATACATACTGGAATATTAATGAACCTTGAAGATATTAAGTTAAAGGAAATAAGCAAGACATTGGAGGAAAAACACGATTCCACTTAACCTGAGGTAATCAGGCAAATTTAGAGAAACAGTAGAACAGAGATTTCTTGGGAGCAGGGAGTGTAGGTGTAGAGATTCAGTTTGAGAACATGGACATGTTCTGGAGGTGGCATGCAGTAATGACTGCAAGATGTACTTAGTGCTACTGAATTGTATCGTTAAAATGATAATTCATGCATATTTACATATGCACAAAGACAGAAGATCAAGCTTTAAGTGTACATGGGGATTTCCTTTATGCTGTTGCTTTAACATGCCCAAGCAATGCTAGAACTAGTTGCTGAGACTTTTTTTAGAACTAGTTGCTGAGACATTCTGATGCCTGGAAGAAAAAATGAATTATTCATATATGGTTACTAATTGGTGAAAACAGGTGGTAGATATGGGCCCGGCAGCATGGCCTAGTGGCTGAAGTCCTCACCATGAATGCACCAGGATCCCATGTGGGCCCATGGTTCTAATCCCAACCGCCCCGCTTCCCATCCAGCTTCCTGCTTGTGGCCTGGGAAAGCAGTCGAGGCCAGCCCAAAGCCTTGGGACCCTGCACTCATGTGGGAGACATGGAGGAGGTTTTTGGATCCTGGCTGCAGATCAGTGCAGCGCTGACCGTTGCGCTCACTTGCGGGGTGAATCATCAGACAGAAGATCTTCCTCTCTGTCTCCTCTTCCTCTCTATATATCTGACTTTCCAATAAAATAAATAAATAAATAGAAAGATAAATAAATAAAAAGAAAATAGGTGGATGTAAAATATATTAGGTTTTTGTAGGGTTCCTCGCTTATAAGTAAAAAATTCAATTGAAAGAAACAAATTTATAAAATTTAGGACCGTGTCCAATGTAGAATATGGAAGAACTATAAACCTAACTGTTCTGTGGTACAGTTCAAAGAAGTCCAGATAGGACATTGGAAGATTTCCCTGAACCTTGCTAAAATAACTCAGTGAATTTCATAGCATGTAGGAAGCATTTGATGAAAGATGAATTATTTCCCTTCTTGCCTTCCAGGGTGCAACAATGGCTAAACTGTATTCTTTTAAAGTTGTTTTTGATTTCATTTTTACTCTATTGGTGTCTCCTTTTGTACTCAAAGATAGCACTGTTTGTGGACTATTTAATTTTTTTATATCATCTTCAAAAAATACATCCATGGAGTTAAAACAGTAAACAAGAAAAATGAAACTGTACTTATAGCTGAAACACGTTGATTTGAGGGTAAAATTAGGATCCTGTTCTTGGAACTTGTTCTGTTTTTAGGTTGTAACACCAAGAAAAAAAAAAAAAAGAAAAGAAAAGAATTCTAGCATGAGTAGGTACATCATGAAAATGAATAGGTATCTTTAAGAGAGAATGTCTAAATATGGCAGGATGGACAGATGGACTTTACAATCAGATATATGTGATTTGAGCCAAGAGCCCCCATAAAAATGACTTTTGGAACCTTGGGAACTGGTGGCCATTGCTCTATCCCTAAACTCATTTAAAATGGTAACCTTATCTAGGATTTATTAAAGAAAATAATTTATTGGAAACAAGCCAATAAAGTGCTTTACATAACAAGTAGTTTGCACATGACAAGTTTTAAACTTTGATCAGCATACCCTAGTTAAAAAAAAACAGGTATATATGTTTTTTTAAGATTTATTTTTATTGAAAAGATAGAGATACAGAGAGGAGGAGAGACAGAAAGATATTCTTTCGATGATTCACTCCCCAAGTGGCTGCAATGGCCAGAGCTGTGCCAATCAGAAGTCAGAAGCCTGGAGCCTCTTCCTGTTTTCCCACATGGGTGCAGGGTCCCAGAGCTTTAGGGCATCCTCGACTGCTTTCCCAGGCCACAAACAGGGAGCTGGATGGGAAATAAGATTGTCACTAAAATTTTAAAAGTAAACCTGGGATTTTGGAGAAATGAACTTTAGATGTTTGGGATGCATTCAATTTAGAATAACACTTTTTCTACTTGTACAAGTGCTCTCAACTTGGTAAAATAGAGTTAAGTTTATTTTGCTGCGAAAAAAATTGAAATCCATGCATTGCTTTTTATTAATGGATGTTTTTGAAGACTTCATATTTATTGAGTGCCTGTAATGTGGAAGAAATTAGTCCAGATGTTGACAGCACAGCAATACAAAACAGACAAACTACACTCTTAGTCACAAGGTTCTTCTTAATGAGAAAGTGATCGTCATTATATTAGACATTGATGCTGACTTACCAAATGAACTAAAGACAGGAAAGTGAGATAAAAGTGCAGTGTTGGAGTGGTTGGGGTTTTACATAGGATGATCAAGATGACAGAAACAAGGCTAAGAAGATTGTAAAGCAGCAAGCAATGCAGAGGGTCAGGAGAGCTTTCCTCGCTGTTGCAAGCATCCTGAAGTGTGGTGGTGCCTTATGTATGACAGGAATAGCAGGGCCAGTGGTGTTAAACCAGGATGCACAAGGGCAAGCGATACATGATGGGAGGTTAGACAGGAGGAAGGGACTTGTTTAGTTAGGTTTTCCAAAGGCCTTTTTCAGGTCTTTGGTAATGAATGACATTTGAAAGGTTTGAGGCAAGAAGTGAAAATTTCAGAGGACTGCTCTGGCTCCTGAATTGAGAATAGATTGTGTAAGGGCAGCAAAGGAAGCAGGTAGAAGAGATAGGATGTTGTTGGAGTGAATCCATACAAAAGATAAACTTGGTCCAGAATTATTGCAGTAGAAGTAATGGTCAAATTTTGAGTGTATTTTGAAGGAAAAACCAGCAATGGGTGTTGCTGAATGATAGATAATGTGAAGGAGAAGCATGAAGGATATTGACTGTTTGAAGCTGGGCATCTGGATGGAAGAAAGACTTCTTTAGGTTTCAGAAGAAAAGACAAGAATTCATTTGGGGACATATCAAATTGAATAGCAAAAATGTTAAGAAGGCAACTGATGACTATGAAATTCAACAAGGAACTCTGTTCTAATAGTAAATCTGTTCATTTCAGCATAAAAGTGTTAAATGGTAGGAATTGAAATAATTATATTTGATTTTTTTGGGTCCATAAGTATGAAAGATACAAAGTATTGCAATACATTTAGTCTAGAAAGTAAGTATTGCTGTCATGCAGTTTCACTGGAGAAGGGAATCATTATTATAAAGCACATTATATTTATCTGAAAACCTGAGTATTGTCATAATACTGTGAGATGCCTTAGCATAGTCTGATTGTAGTATTCTTTAGGCAGTTGAGCTGCTGAAGCCAGGGGGTGTGCTGGTGTACAGCACATGCACAGTAACACTGGCAGAGAATGAAGAGCAGGTTGCCTGGGCCCTCAAGACATTTCCTTCTCTCCAGCTTCAGCCCCAGGTAAGAGTATTTTTCTTTCTTTTATATGATCTGGTAAATGGCAGAAATAAAGCATGATGATAAACTTCAAATGTCACACAAGGAAAAAATATGAAGTAAAACTTCTCAAACACTGTAAGAAGTAAAAATATTTCTCTAATGAGATCCTTTCTGGAATAGTCATAGAATATTTATATGTCCTGGCAAAATTTTTCCTCTTTCCGTTTTCCTTTATGTTAAAGTGGCACAGCGTTTGGTGTATTTTTTTTTTACGTGTTTATTTCTCTTATGTTGTTCATGTTTCTGGCACTTTCAAATTTTCCCTTCCAAGCCCTATATATTTCTGATATGCCAAAGGTTGAACACTTTTCATATAGTACATCAAAGTCAAAGCAGACTTTAAATCTCTTTGAGATTTCAGAAAACCAGTCAAGGGAGGGTTGGGGAAGGTAATTCAGGATTAATACTTTTTTTAATAGTTTATTATATAAAAAGCTTAATTGTTTTATGCAGCACTAATCTAACTTTTGGTTATGGTTTTTATAAGAGTGTATAATTCAAGTTTTAGCTTATAATTTTTATTTTTTAAAAAGATCTGTTTTTATTGAAAAGTCAAATTTACAGAGAGGAGGAGAGACAAAGATTTTCCGTCCACTGGTTCATTCCCCAAGTGGTTGCAACAGCTGGAGCTGAGCTGATCTGAAGCTAGGAGGCATATGGGTGCCAGTTGATGTCCCAGTTGTTCCTGCTTGTGTCCTGGGAAAGCAGTCGAGGATGGCCTAAGGCCTTGGGACGCTGTACATGTGTGGAAGACCTGGAGGAAGCTCCTGTCTCAGGATTGGCTCAGCTGCACACTTTGCAGCCACCTGAGGAGTGAGTCAGTGGCTGGAAGATCTTTCTGTATGTGTCTCCTTCTTTCTGTAAAAATCTGACTTTCCAGTAAAAAGGTCTAAAAAAATAATTCTGGATCTTTTGCAGTAGTGGTTTCTGAGAATCATCCAATTTCTTATGATTCCATGATCTTTCAGATTAGTTGTTGTAACCTTAATTTATCTATCTTTCTGCTTAAATTTTTTTATGTATCTCTAATGTGTTCCCTTATAGTAAACAGAAAAAACTACAAAAACTTATCAGTGAAAGACATCTTGTATGTGTAAGGAAACTCTTTTGCAGTTTTGGAGAGAATGAAAACCTTGGATTTTGTCTGTTGCTTTCTTGTTAATAGTTTTCCATATCTTGAGTGTTTCCTGTAAGGCAAAAACATGATGACACTTTTGTTAAGCCTCAGAAGTGAGCATTTAATGAGAAAATAGGTTTAGGTAAAGTTACACAGCTGAAATGTGACAGAGCTGTAATGTGACACAGATTTCATAAACAATCGGTAGGTATTCGAATTCACCAGGTGAACATGTGTTACTGCTTTCCCACTATACTGCCTGGAAGATGCATTCCACAAAAAGAAAAGCTATGCAGTAATTTTTCTTTTTATGGAATATGTATAGTTGTCATTTTGTTTACTGATTACAGGATGCACACCCATATTTATTTATTTTCTTCAAACAGGAACCACAAATTGGAGGAGAAGGAATGGTGGGAGCTGGCCTATCGTTGGCACAGTTGAAACAGCTGCAGCGATTTGATCCATCTGTTGTGCCATTCCAGGACACTGACATTCATTCCCTTAGAGATGCCAGAATGGAAGACATGATTTGGCTGGCCAATAAGGATTGTATAGGCTTCTTTATTGCAAAGTTTGTAAAATGTAAAAGCACATAGGAGAGGGATCCTCAAAATCAAAATGCCAAGCATTTGCTGTCTGTTTTCTTCTTCTACCCCCAGTGTTGAGCCAATCCAGTGCTGACATGGTTGCTAAGGAAACAGAAAAGGCTGCCAGTGGTTTCACAGGGATGAAGAGACAAACAAGGGCTGATGTGAGCCTACATTTTGTGTTCTTAAGAGAAATATCTCATTCTGGGTTACAAACAGTATAATGAAAAGATGCCTGTACTTGTCTGGAACATATTTTCATTTGGGATCTTGTATTTTAAATTAATAATCATAATTTTTAATATTAAGATATTCCAAAAGGAGTAACATTAAAACATTTCATGTGTTTATAAAAAAATTGTTTTCTGTTCTCAAGTTCTGAAGCTATATTTCCCTAAGAATTCATGGCCTGGGAAGTTTTAACGTTTTTCATGTGCTAATATCTGTGGTAAGTATTTTGTTTGACTTTTCCTAAATATTTGCCAAATCAACATTCTTTCAAAGGAAGTCTAGACTTTCTCATTATAATAGTCTGCCTTCTCTTTATTGTGTTTTATGCTTTCAAACTAAAAAGTAAACAGGATTTTTTAAACTTGTAGATTGAAAAAATGAGAATATACCATAGTTTAGGTAATTTTCATCATTTACTGGAAAACATAATGCAGATGATGAGAAAAGTACCCTCTCAGCTGGAAACTGGCTGTCCCTTCCATCTGGGTCTCGCTGTTACCCTAACACTTTCAAAGGATACCAAAGTCATACAAGGCCACTCTGCCTGCAGTAGAACAAGACAAAAAAAAAAAACATTTCATAATCAGATCTGAATTGAGACAAGTTGGAACACTGTTCAAAAGAGAATGACCAAACATCCTCTTATAGTAGCCAATGTGACTGCTTTAAAAAATTCTCTCTATAGATACAGAGATATTGGTATCTATAGAGTGGGCGAGACCTGGGCTTCCTTTTTTTCAGATAAGATCTTTTGAAGTGTCTATTAATTTAATAGTAGTTTGAAGTCTTGCACATCAAACTTTCATTGAAATCACACAGAAATGATTGGGAACTGGGCATATAAATGGACAGTGGTGAACACTTGCCTGATATTTTTCCTGTTTCATGAATTATTTCCATAGTTCTGTTGATAATAGCCAGAAGGTTTCTTGGATCAGGTAAGACCTTTAAGTGGCCTCTTACTTTTAGTGCAGCCTTTTTGGATCACCATATCTTTCTTTGTTCTTATGCATTCATTCTAATTTACTAGCCATGCCCCCTAACCCACCCTGTACTTAAGAATCATCCTCTAGGCAGAGAACTTGTGTTTTCTGTCCACTGTCCTCCAGCATGTAGTTCATACTTACTGTGAGAGAAGAAATTATTTGAAGTTCCCTAAGATTTAAGTACATGATTTACTTTAAATTTCTCATTCTGCCTTTTGTCCAGGAAATGTCTTTTAAGAGAAGCACTGCTTACCTGGGTATTTTTCTTTCCAGGGCTCAAAATACCTCCTCAGACCTTTTTTTTTTTTTTTTTTTTTAAGAAACTCCACAAAGCTCAGTGCTCACTGCTAAGCAGGGATAAAAATGATAGAAATTAGCCTAGTAACACTGTTGTAAATTGTTGATTAATGCCAACAAGTATCAGAATAAAAATAAAGCTAGCAAAACATAAAAACTTTGTCCTTCTCATTTTTAATTTACAAATATTTTTCAGTGGATTTCTTTCCTTTAAAAAACTAAGCAAATTGAAAATAAGACACATACATGCATGGACATTTGGCCCAACAGGTGAGGTGCCCGCCGTGTCAACTTTGGAATACCTTTTTTGATTCCTTGCTCTGGCTTTCAATTCCGAGTTCTTGTTGGTGCACATCTTGTGAGGTAGCAGATGGTGACACAAGTAGTTGAGTTCTTACCATTCATGTGGAAGATCTGGATTAAATTCCTGGCTTCGGCTCTGCCTAGCCCTGTCCTGGCTTCGGCTCTGCCTACCCCTGTCCTTTGTCAGAGTGAACCAGTGGATGGGAGCTTGTTTTTTTGTTCCCTCCACACGTGCCTCAAATTTTAAAACATTAAGCACTCTTAAGGAATATAAAAATACAATGAAAAAATCAAAATGGAAGAATGCAAATGGGGAAAAATTGTATCTTTTAGCATTTTGTGTTGACATAGGTATTTTTATGAAACAAAAACCATTTAATAGTGCATTTTGTTTCAGAACCCTGTGTCACATTTTCCATAGCTATAAATAGCAAAGTGAAGCATAAATAGTTACAAATGAAAATAAACCAAACACCAGATTTCAGAAGCATTAGTTCCATATTTTCGGAGTAGGGGAATCTTAGTTACATAAGTTGAATGTACCCAGGAGTATTAGTGTCACCTCAGTATGCAAAAGAGAAGCACAAAAGTTAAATTTGTCCTCATCAGGAATCTTCACTTTGAAAATTAAGGAACAAACAAAATTCTAAGAATGAATCAAGATTGTTTTGCTTGTAAAATGGGAGATTATTCTGTAATTCAATTCTTAAATCTTTTACCTACCTTATGCCATCTTTTTTTCTTTTTCCAAAATTAGACATGATGGGAAGATTACTAATGTAACATCAAGTGATTGGCATTGCTGGTAAGGAAGATGCTGCACGGTATGTAACATCCTCAATTCCAAGAATCACTTCTAAGATGTCAATTAATACTAACAGTAAACAGTGCAGAAGCCAGCTCTTTATTTTGTATGAATGACTTTAAACCAGGTTTGTTAAACAGTTCAGTGTGGCTGACAGTGAATGTTGTTTAACAGGAATGCATAGCAGACCATGTTAAAATGTGGCATTGTCCCAAAATACAGTAAGACTAAGACATCCTACATTTAGCAGCACCTTTTTTGTAACAGTAACTTAAATAGCAGTAAAGAAAGAGCATAGGAAAAACTTCAGTGGATATGACAAAAACATAGACCTAGTAAGTACATTTCCAGCATTTTCTAAGTTGACTGCAAAAAATGATGATTCTGTAACTTTAATAACGAGGAAGAGTAAGCCTTTGCTGTGTGAATAGACTATAATTTTACATTCCACAAGTCAGTAACTATCCATCTGTTGTAGGGATGATTTCATTTGTAAAGTGATTGCACAGTTTACATACATGATCAGCTGTACAGTTTTCATGTATAGATGTTCTCATGTGAAATCCTTCAATACAGTTGTTGAGGACTACTCTGGTTTTCATTAACATTTTCCACAGTAAAGTGAAAAGCTAAGACTATAGATATAAAATTATAATTTGTAAGCACTACTCTTTGGGATTAATGATAGCAGCAAGTAAGGTAAAGCCAGTTATCTTAAGAATTTAAATAATCCCTAAATCCTTAATTTGGATAACTAAATGTATAGGAAAGCGTGTTGATTGGGATATAATTTCCCAGTATTATAAAATGGTCAAAAATGTGACTCTTATATTTAATAAGCAGTAGAGTGCTAATTAACCATTTCTGAGGCATATTTTTCATATATTCGTTGCTAAAACACTATTTGTAATTCAGTTTTAGAACAGTTTTCTTGGGAGTAGGGGAAATGGGTTAAATGTAAAACAGTTGGCAAGAATCAATCAAGGAAGTAAAACAGTTTACCATCACTACTGTCCTGTTAAATTAGTATACAGATCTAAAGTAGGAAATGATAGGCATTTTGCTGGGACAAACTTCCAATGCTAGGTACCGGCACACCTAATATTGTCCTGATGTCACAACTAGACAAAAGTGTACAATTGAGACATAGAAACTGTTTTCCCCTCAAAATAACATGACAAACTTCGTACAGCAGTTCAGTGGAGGTGTGGAGATAGCATGTTCCCGTTTCCTCATTAAAGTAGTTGTCTAATATATGAAAATTCTTAACATTGTATTCATTTCAAGTCACCTATTTTGTCCTGATTACTTCTGAATAACAGAAACTTTGGTTATAAGAAGCACTTCTTGGGTTTGACAGACAGTGAAACAGTGAGTTGGCGGTGGGAAAGAATAAGTAGGGAGATGAACAACAGGAATAGGCAAGGTTAGAAAATAAAGTGGGAGAAGTTATAAAAATTTATTTTCCTATGAAATAAGTCCACAAGCTGTGTAAACGTTTCTTGCTAACAAATACTCTGACACACAAAGATTGTACATTTCCAGTGAAACACTCACAGTACAAGTTGCCTGTATTTTTACTCTCTGGGAGCAAAAACAAGGACCAGCGCATGAATGCTTTCCTAGTTACTTTGGCAGCAAGCTTCCTCACATTCCCTGAATGCTTGATGGATTGTTAAAGCAACACATAACACAAATACAAAGCTAGGTGGCTAAACTCTAGATCCCAATCTATCATTTCATTACTCTTCAGCATTCCATTTCAACCAGTCACTCGTGCACTCTGACATACAGACGCACACGCATGTGCATACAGCGGGTTCCGGCTCATATATTCCAGTGCAGTGACTATAACAGACACTAGCTACTAAGAATGTGTTTGTCACAATTAGTGTGAACTGTATGGAGTAGAACAACCTTTGGAGTTTGGTGATATTTACCTTAATTTATGGTCAAAAGTATAAAGTTACAGGATGGTATAACATTCAGAAATCAATTATTTTCAAGTCAAGCAGTCACACGTATTTACAGTATGTACAGACTTTCTGTTAGATGGGAATAGGTGTCTAGACAATGTTATTACAAATTTCCTGAATGTGGGTATTTCTAGTCCCTGTAATTCATAAAGCAAATCTGCTGACTTGGCATTAAGACTCTAAAATAGTGAGATCAAACTGATTATATATTATATATAATTATAATAAGGTGTTTGCAGAAATAACATTTACAAACTGTCTATACAGTACACAGTACTAGTACATAGAAAATAGATTCTAACTTTATGATCCGCTTTGTGTAAGGCAAGACTGAATCTGTCCCCAAATTTAGTCAGCCAGAGGTACAAGCAAAAAAGTGGTCCGTGAATAAATGAATATGCAAATCAGGTGTCTGGGTATTAGAAAATCTGGGAAACAAATTCCACTTTATCTGTGCTGATTCTGGCTTGTTGATGTGTCAACTAGAATTCTTGAAGTAATCATGGTGGCAATAGATTTTGTTCAAGTGGCAGCTACCCAAATCAGTTTGAGTTTGTGAATAATTCAATATACAACCAGAGGACTGCAGCTGTACCAGGCCAATTTATATAGCACTTACAAAAGAAAAAAAATATTAATACTCATTTCATGCTATTGCTATTTAAGCAACAGCAATACAAAATACACAAGACAGATCACATGATTGCAATGTAGACCTCAAAGATTTTGTTTGAGGTTCCCTTATACAAGACTTAAAAAAAAAAAAAGGGCAAAAGTCATTGGCGGATGTAAACATCCCTGTTCCACTCCCCAGCCTCATTCCTTTTTTTGGAAATGACTTCTCCATCCTTGTCACAGTAGCGATCCTTGGATTTATGACGGCTGCGTTGTTTGTTGCACTCATTGTGGTCCTGCTCCCGATCTGTGTCCCGGGAACGGTGCCGGGTCTCTCTGTGTCTGTGGTCACTGCCTCCATGGGCCTCGTCTCGGTGATTGTGGTCACGATGTGGGGGGGCATAGTGGTCTGTGTGTTCATGGGAATAATCTTCCTTTGGCTCTACGTAGGCAGAGTCTCGGCTCTCCTGGGTTTCTGAATCAAATGTCTCTTGCCTGGAGAGTCCTCGGCTGGTGCCGCTGCGGTGGTTGTGGTGTGGGGCTGAGGAGGAAGACCGATGCTGGGATTTCTTCACTGGTTCCAGGCAAGATTCTTCAGCCTGGGAAGCAGAACGGGCAGGAGCCGAACGATCTGTCCTCTGCTCACCTTGAGAACTCTGGCGGCAAAAGGAACATACACATTAATCCAGATCCTTGTAAGTAAGAAAGCTATCCTCGGTCCGTTGCCAAATTCTTCTGATGTTTTGTGGCACTGATTTGGTTTGCATTCTGAAGTGCCCAAAACAGTGCACACAGTGACTTTTTTCATGATCCAGGTAGCATTTTTTCACATGTTCTTTTGTGGTTTAAATACAAATGCCAATATTTCTGACTGAAGATAAACATTCATTAAAATCCCATTGAATAAAAATAAGCAGGATTTTAGCATTGGCTTAAGGATTAAGAAATGCAATGAAAAGTTGAAATGTTTAAATGAAACAGTGTGAAGTCAGACACTGAGACCTTCATGGGTGCTAATACGATCCTCTGAGAAAAGGCAGAAGACAAGACAGTTTATTACAGTATCCCCAGGAGAAAGGCTGTCATCGTACCTGATACAGCCACAAGTATGATGAAAGTAACCTGCTGATGGCTGTATCCCTCACACCCAGTGTGCTGCCGACTATGTAGAAAGGTCCTCTACCTTATGGAACTATGTAATTTAAAAATGTGTGTGTGTGTTATATCTCCAGTATTTTTCTGTTGTCAGCCCTGTAGTGTGGAAAGAACTGTTAAGTCACTTGTAAAGTTTGTCACAATTTAAACCAAGTATACCAGAACAAGTACTGCTGTGGTTCTCAGGACAGGGTTGTCAGTTTCTCTATGAAACTTCTGAAATCTCCCCTTACCTGTGAATTGGAGGCAAGGGTGGGGCTGACAGGCAGAGTTGATGTGGCTAAAGTACGGCTGAGGAGAGGGTTGGGGAGACTGCTGCTGGGAGGATGGGTGGCCTTCCAGTAGGCCTCCAGATAGTCGGCAAGGTGCTCACAAGCATCCTCAAGCTGGTTCTCATCCAAGATCACATCAAACAGCTCCTGCAGAGACAAACACTTCAGGCAGCAGCTGTTCCTGGGTGAAGAGGATGCATCCTTTGTTTATTCCTGCTTATGGGCTCCTTGTCTGTTGGCTGGGTGAGTTTATACGTGTCTATGTACCTCAAACGAATGTTAGCTAATTACAGTCACTAGACAGTGAGCATAACAGTTCAGGAAAATTGTTAGTGAAAAAATAATGTGGAAAAGAGACTGAGAAGCTTAATTTAGAAATTAGTGAAGCAAGAGTTCAGCCATCTGATGCAGCTGAAACCAGATTTTGACATAGTTTATCTTGAAATACTGATAACTTTCTGCAATATCTGCACTTAAGCTAATTTGGTTAGCAAAAAGTTTATGAAATTGTGCATGTTAGTCTTCAGAAAGTTAAAAATGTGTTTACCTATAAACTTATATATGTTTTAAGTTATTTATTTGAAAAGTGGAATGACAGAGATTTGGCTCATTCCTCCAGTGTCTGTAATGGCAGTGCTGCTTCAGAAGCTAGATGCTATTTATATCTTCCAGTCTTCTACATAGGCAGCAGCAGTCCCAGGTACTGGGGTCATTTTCTACTGCCCTCGTAGGTGGTTAAGAGGAGAGCTGCGTCAGAGGTGGAGCAGCTGGGAGTTGAATTGGTTCTCCTGTATTGGATACTAGTGTAGGTGTAGGTGGCAGGTTAATTTGCTGTGCCAAAAGGAACATTGCCCAGAACTTTTTAAAGTATCATGGTTTGTAGAGAATGGATTAAAAATAGGATGTATTCACAAGAATGCAGTTTGAGGGGCTTGTGCCTTCTTCCCATAAGGTTTTGGTGGGAGTCCTGGCTGCTCCACTGTTTTCCCAGGAAGATCTAGGTTTAAGACTGCGTGGGCTCCTCTATATGTGGGACTAGATAAAGCTCCTACCTTTAGCCTTGCCCAGCCCTGGTGGTTGTGGCCATTTGGGTAGTGAACTACAAGATATAAAATTCACTTGAAAGGCAGAATTACAGAAAGGAAGTCTTCTAGCAGTTATTTTAAAATTGGGCAGTTTGCTCCAGTTGGTGAGAGGTGAATAATAAGTCAATACTAGGGGCAGATATTATGGCATGTGGGTTAAACATCCCAAAGGGAATGCCGGTTTGAGTCTCCGTTGCTTCACTAGATCTTGCTTAGTGCTAATGCACCAGTGTAGGAGGCAGCAAACGGCACAAATACTGGGAACCTCTTGCCAAATGGGCTATCTAGATAGAGTTTCAGGCACATGGCTTTGGTTGGCCAGCACTGACTGTTGCTGGTCATTAGGACATTAGGAAATTAAAGCAGCATATGGAAAATCTGTCTCCACCCTTCAGACCCATGCAAATAAGACAAAATCAAATATATCCATCTTACAGATGTTTATATTAGCTAAAGTGAAGTCATTAGTGAATACACTGTGCATTTTTGAAAGCATCACCATTATCTAGGTTAACCATGTAGTAAAAACACATGACGATGGAAGGAGGCAACAAATACTACTTACAGTGACCAGGATTCTCCCATGACTTTGTTTTCAACATATTAGATGTGAGCTCTCTATATGCATTTTACGGAATATAAAGATAACTTACCGGAGGACACTGAGCCAGTTTATCAGCTGCTACCATCTGGACATTAAGGTGTTTTGCTTGAGATTTCCCTCGAGATTTTATTAACCTTTGTAAAACCTGAAAATTAAAAAGCATATTATCAGTTCTTTTCATGGTGGACTATTTTTTTTAAGATTTATTTTTATTACAAAGTCAGATATACAGAGAGGAGGAGAGACAGAGAGGAAGATCTTCCGTCTGATGATTCACTCCCCAAGTGAACACAACGGCTGGAGCTGAGCCGATCCAAAGCCAGGAGCCAGGAGTCTCTTCCAGGTCTCCCACACGGGTGCAGGGTCCCAAGGCTTTGGGCCATCCTGGACTGCTTTCCCAGGCCACAAGCAGGGAGCTGGATGGGAAGTGGGGCTCCCGGGATTACAACCGGCGCTCATATGGGATCCTGGCATGTTCAAGGCGAGGACTTTAAGCCGTTAGGCCACTATGCTGGGGACACTAATAGTTTTTAATAAGTAGTTGTAAATCTTACGCATTTGCATTGTGTAACAGATAGTGCTCAGGTGCAAGCTGTAAGCATGCACATAGAGCTTACTGTTGCTCCTAGGTGTTTGTCCCTTAGCTCTCCTAGAGGTGTGTGAGTGTGCTTTTTTGTTTGTTTTTTTTTGGTACATGTGTGGAATGCATCTAATTTCCATATTAGAACTTAAAAATAACTTTTACAATTTTTTTTGTAGGTTCCTGCGTCCACAGAACACAATGAAAATCTGCTTCTAGATTTGATCTGCAGTGTGTTCTTAGGGCTGAAATATGTGAAGAGAATTCAACATTCAACAGATATAAAATTATGCGCAGTTTTTGATAGTACGCTAAAACACAGTAAACGTAGTTCATCAAAAGCTAGTTTACCTTGGTGGACTCTTATATTTACTTTCCTTCTTCTGTCTTGAAGTTCCAGTGGATCTGTTATGTGTAATTTATAACATTTTTCATTGATCATTTGGAAGATGGTTCACTGAAATCTTAAGATGTTCAATATACTGCATTTTACATTATTAAAACATCATGGACATTGTGAATATGTTCAGGGCAACTTTTATTGTCATTGTTCAGGAAAACATCTGTAAAATACTCAAGTGTGTTCATGGCAAGGACTTTAGCTGCTAGGCTATCGCACCTGGCCCCTAATGTGGCTTTTCAAACTGTGCATTCATAAAGGCCTAACACCTATTATAGCTGGAAAGCAGAAATAAAACATATTCAAGTATCAACTGCATCTCTACTTACCTTAGGAGAAGAAATCTTCACATATACTATAATAGGGGCCAAGGAGGTTTTACTAAGTTGAGCTGGATGGTTAATAGTGTCTGCATCAAGCACTACCAATTGCAGCGTCCTTGCAAGTTCAAAGATCCTTTCAATTTCACTCTGAACTTCCGCTGTGAAAGGTTAAACAGAGTTCAATTATTTAAAGAACAAAGTAAAATGGTACTATTCAATGAAAGTCAGATATTATTATTGATATTTATCTGCAGAATTTAAAAGTGGCATCCTTTGCTACTTTTTTTTTTTTTTTTTGCTGTGGGAGAAAAGAATCATTTTCCCCCACAACAACTTAATAATTTAAGGAATTTCTCCCTTAACTCAAATTTTCTTCTGCTGAAATAAAACAAACAGGTGAGACCTGAAGGGTGCTTATGACAGATTTGTCCACAAACACTTCTTGTATTTCTGTCTTCATGTTTTACGAGGGAGGTGACCATCTATCAGAAGCAAAAAAATCAAAATCCAAATTGTAAAATGTTTAAAACAGTTACCATCAAACTTAAGATTTATTTTATTTTCTTGATTGTATAGTCAGATTTACAGAGAGCTGCTTCACTCCCCAAGTGGCCACAACAGCCAGAGCTGAGCTGATTCAAAGTCAGGAGCTTCTTCTGGGTCTCTCACATGGGTGCAGGGTCTCTAGGCCTTGGGCCATCTTCTACTGCTTCCCCAGGAAAGGAGCTGGTTGGGAAGTAGAGCAGCTGCAACCCGAGCCAGTGCCTATATGGGATCCCAGCACATGCAAGGCAAGGACCTTAGCCACTGGACTACTACACTTGGCCCTCCACCAGACTTCTAATACTTCACTTGGGTATCAAGAGAATAGTGCCTACTGCTTAAGAGACCCTGTCAGAGTTGTAAACAGCACTATTCAGTAGAATTACTGCAGTGACAGAAATCTCTGTGCTGCCTGAAGCAGCAGCTACGAACTACATGTGGCTGTTGGGCACTTACTCTATAGCCAGTGTGAGTAAACAACTACATTTAAAATTATTTAGGAGGCTAGAAGCTATTATCCAATGTAGCATAACATGTAGCTTTCAAATCCCACTTTGTTCACCAAAAGTCAATTCTAGAAGATTTCTTCAAGCCAGCAAATTTGACTTCAGAATACCTTTTAATTTCTCCTGTTTCAATTTATGCCAGATTTCTGGAGATAAAAAGAACTAGCATGTTACTAAAAGAGCAACATTTCAACATTAGAATGTGAAGATGAAGAGATGGAGGAGATGTCTGAAAATGAATTTAAAATATCCAAAGACAATGAAAAATACAGGAATTAACAAAACCCATACATAACATGAATGAGAAATTCTGTGAAACTGATATTTTGAAGAGAAAATATTAGAAGTGCAGAATTTATAAATATGCCATGTGAAAATATAGTGGAAAGCCTAAACAAGACTTCGTGAGATAGAAAAAGCAATCTTTAAGCTAGAAAATATTTCTTTTGAAAAAACAGACAAAAAAAAAACCCCACAAAAGTGTCCAAGATTATGGAATATCATCAAACGACCTAACATGTTTTAGGAGTTCCTGAAGAAGGGATAGATTTAAGTCTATTCCGTTAAATAACTGGAAACAAACGTCATCCTAATACAGGATGCAATAGAACTCCAGAAAAGATGTTTACCTTGACACACTATGGTCAAACTTTGCACAGTTAAAGACACTAAAATGTTCACAAGTGGAATGACAGATTACCAGTAGGGGATTTCCACTCAGACTTTGAGCTGATTTCTCATCAGAAACCCTACAGGCTAGGAAACAAGACAGGGCCACAGTCCAGGCTCTGAAAGACAAACTGCCAACCTAGAGCTTTCTACCCAGCTGAGTACTCATATTTTACATGAAGGTGAAATAAAGATCTACAAAAAGAAAGAATCGCCACCACCACCCAGCCAGCCTTATAAATGATGCTTAAGGATATGCTGCTACAGACTGTTGCCCCAAATCAAAGAATGTGAAAGTAGAAAGTGAGTAAAAGTACAAAGGAACTCCAATACAAGCAGTAAGAATATTTATGGAAAAACTGTATGACCAAATCATTACCTTTCAACAATAAACTGAATGCAAATGGCCTAAATCCCATGAAATCAGACTAGCTGAATGGTATGTATGTAACAGGAAAAGAAAAAATTACTTGAGGGATTAAAAATGACATTTAATAGCTTGAAAGTGGTTTAGCACAGTAATTTACAAAATGTGGTCCTGGAACAAAAAGCATCCCTTAGAAATGTCCCATAAATGCAGATGCTCAAGGGATACCTGAGACTTCCTGAATCGGCTACTCTAAGGGAGGTTCCCAGAAATCTGTGCTTTAAAATGCCTACAGCAGGCTCTGAGCCAGCTGGCGTTTTCAGCCTGTCTCCTAAGGGTTAAGAGAGAGAGAGAGAGAGAGAGAGAGAGAGAGAGAGTGTGTGTGTGTGTGTGTGTGTAGTGACTGATGTTATTGTGAAAGAATATTTTCAGAAATAATTACTGAAGCAGGTTACGGAGAAAGCATTTTGTGTTCACTCAGCAATGGTTTTTTAAAGCACAGTTTCCAAGAACCTGTTAGAAATGCAAATTCTCATGTTTCCTCCCATCCCACTAAATCAGACTGTGGCATTGGGGCAGGATCTGTGTTCTGACGTACCCTCTGACGCAGGCTGCAGAATGCAAACCACTAATTTGGGAGAAAAAAATAAAGCAATAATGATAACTCCACATAACAGAACTCATGGAAAGCAGCCAATGCTGTCTCTATTCTGAACTAGATCTGTATCTTATACTCTTCAGTAACTGAATAATGAAGATAGGAATTATATAAATGATACGTTTTAAATTTGGATTAGAAGCTACTAACAAACTGTACCATTGACTTACCTCCTACTCTGTGTGCAATCAGATCCTATAATAATCTTGAAACATGTTCTACTAGTGTCCCTGGTTTAGTGATAGAAAACAGAAGAAGACTGCCTAACTTGCCAGTAACAAAAATCCAAGGAAAACAAGAATAAAAGAAACATAAAACCATTGTTTTTAAAAATAAGCAACAAAAAGGTAAAACTGAATAATCTTTAAGTATCAGCATCCATACATAAACTCACATATCTGGAATATTAATGTACCTGTTTTGTGCAAAATTATAATTTATATATTTGCCATATCCACATAAACTGTGAACATCTCAGTTAACATGTTTTTTTGGCAGGGGAAGCCTCTGTCCATTCTCCTTTCTGATTTATTTTTCTCTGTAAAACTATCTGCCAGCACTACCATGAAAAATTTTCATGCTGTCCCATAGAATTATATTAATTTGTATAACACACATACACCCTTCTCCTTGCTTTCGAAGTATTAGATTTTGTATTACGAGTCTCCTGGAGGTTGGTTGGGATGACACAGTGGGCCCGTCCAGACTACCAGTCCACTTTTTTTGACTTTACCCTCCTGGCTGACTCGGGTCTCTTGAAGTCTCTTCGTGTCCTTTGTTTGAGTAAAGTACTAAGTCAAGGATGGAAATGCTATGTCAAGACAAATTGGTGGGCTTGAGGTCTTCATCTTGTTTTATTTCTCTGTAGCAGTTGGACCACTGAAATATTCTCTCCTAACAGTATATCTATTTATGTTTCTATTCATTTGAAAAAAATAGGGAGGGGGTTAATTATCTTTCACTCACAAGCTTGCTCCCCAAATGTCTTCCTCAGCAGGGAATGGATCCGGCTAAAGGAACCTGGAAGTCCAGCTGGGTCTCCCGCATGGGTGGCAGGGATTCAACACTTAGCAAGAAGCTAGAACTGGATGTGCAGCCAGGGCTGAATCCCAGTCTTTGACAGGGATGTGTGCAAGCCAAATGGGATCTTAACTGCTATGCCAAATGCCTTCCCTGGAATCTACTTCTGGTTTTATGTCAAGACGCTCCTTTTCCAGCCTACCTCATCTATACTGGGCTTCTCAGAGGTCTGGGCTTGCCTAACCCTCTCAACCTCACTTCTCTAAAGACATGTAAAGTTCCCAAAGTAGTAAAATTGACATTTAGGAATGCATGTGTTGTTGGAAATTTGCTTACAACCCCAAAACCATGACCACCATCACCTTTGCAACCATTTGTGGCATACAGAGTAACCAAACATTTGGGTTCTCCCATGTGCACATAGCTGAGGTCCAGCAGGACAGTGCTGTATCTTCTCATTTCAGCTACCACACTGTAAACCAGGGTCCTTCCTGGAGCCTACTTAGTGCCATTCTCCTTTTATCTCTATTTTTAGGGGTGACTTACCCTTTTAAACCACAGTCATATCCTGAGCAGTGGTTCGCAGGAACCTGAGGAGCCACAGGTCAGTCTTCACCGATTCCATGCCAGTGGTGCAGTGACTATACAGAACACAGTTCCTGTGTGCAGTGAGACTGGCCATCTCATACTCCACCCTCTCCATTCAGTTGCAGCTGTGTATAGTCACCTGGACACCAGGACATACCACACAGTGCAGAGTCCCAGGCTCACAAATGGGTTCTGCATCTCCCTTCCCCACCTCCGTAATACTGTGCACTTTACACAAGCTCCTTGTCTTGAACTACTCAGCCCTTGAGGAACATCTTCAGTCACCCCTTTTCTCAAAGCAGAAAGTTCGAAATCATCCTAGGTTTCTCCTCCTTATTTCACATATAGTTCATTACCAATTCCTGACAGTCCTGCTCTTCCATCTGTGGATTCCTTGCCTGCCTGATTCCCTCTGCCACACAGCCTTACTTTAGGCCTGTAACTGGAGTGATCAGCACAGCCTTCTCAGTGATTTTCCCTCCCAAACCTTGTGCATTTCCATTCTGCTGTCCCCTATATTCTTTTGAAGACCCAACTTTTATGTTTATTCTGTATGTTACTGCTTAGTCTGTCACTTCTGAGCTTCATCAGCTTCCTAATTTGTCCCTCATCTCACTTATGCTCTGCAATCTCCTCTTTCACCCAATGCTTTCGGAATCACACCAAGACAAAGTCCTTCCAGAGCCTTCTAAGCCCAACATAGTCAGCACATCCTCATACCCCATGACCCCTCTTTGCTCACTCTAATCTTCCTGGCCCCCTGACTCTTCTTCAAATGTGCCATCCATGCATCTGCCTCAGGGCCTTTATTCTTATGCCTGTAGCACAGGGTGCTGCAAGACTGAAGAATCCACCACTAAACTCATTCTTCTAAAATGTCATTTCTGTAGCCAGTATTGTGGTTGCAGCAGGTTCAGCTTCTGCCTAAGACACAGCCATCCTATATGGAGGCCAGTTTGAGTCCTGATGGCTCCAGTTTTGATTCAGTTCCCTGCTAATGACCCAAGAAAGCAACAGAAGCTAGCCCAAGTGCTTGGGTTCCTGCACCCACATGGGAGACCCAGAAGAAGTTCCTGGCTGTAGCCTGGCCCAGTGTGGCCATATGGGCAGTGAACCAGCAGTTGGAAGATTTCTCTTTCCTTTTCTCAGACTCTGCCTTTAAAATAAATAAAAACAGCCTTCCCTGACATAAAACTACACCTTCCTTCTGAGCTTGCCACTGTTCAGCCTGATTCTCCTACATGCTGCCCTGCTCAGTGATCCGTAACTGTCTGTTGACATCCATACCTTTATGTTTTCTTCATGTCTTCTCTGTGAACAGGGCATGGGGGAAACTTCTGTGATGGTTGTCTGGTGTTCTGGCACTAAGAATAATTCCTTGCACATGACTGGTACTCAGGTGTTTGTTGAATGACAAAATCTTTACATAGCTTTTAACTGCTTTTTTATCTTATCCTTACCTATCTAAGTTTCAGTGCCACATTCCTCTCTTTGAAACCATACATTCAGCTAAGGTGAAGCACAGATGTTTTCTAGAAGCGTCTTGTAACTTTCACAGTCTCAAATCACTATCACACCCTCCACCCAATTCCTTTTTCTTGGCTAAATCACCTAACTCCAGTGAGAGGTTTACATTCAGAGCTGTACTACACCTGTAGGTATTGATGTAGGGAGGAAGTTACCCTACTTCACTATTGGTGAGAGTGTAGACTAGTGCAGCCATTATGGAATTCAGGATGCAGACAACTGAGAATTGATCTACCATATGACCCAGCTATCACATTTCAGGGAAAATACATCCAAAGGAAGTAACATCTGCATATGAGAAAGTGACAAGTAACCTCTATTTACAGCAGTATAATCCACAATAGTAAAGACATGGAAACAACCCAAATGCCCATTGAAGGAATAGATAAAGAAATTCTGGCACATCTACTCCCATAAAATACTACATAGTCATTAAAATTAACAAAATTCTACCATTTGCAACAAAATAGTCTCAACTACAGACCATTACATTCAGTGAAACTAGGCAATCACAAAAGGATAAATATTATAGGTTCTTTCTAACATAAGGCAACCTTCATATAAAATACGTGTGTGTGTGCGCGTGTGTGTATGCAAATTTTCTCAGATGAACTGTATATTGGAGACTAGCATACCGGGAAGTGAAGCTGTGCCACAGCAGGCTTCTGAATAAAAGCAGGACTCCCAGTGAAATAGTTATGATACCAGATTTTCTAACTTTTTCTATACCTACAAGGCCATGACAAACTTAAACAGCAAAATGTTAACCTTGTAACTGTCACTAAAGGATGAAACCACTGTAATAATAAGAAGGATATGATGGAAGGGGAAGATGGGAAGGAAAGGAGGGAATCTCTGCATCTACAACAGTGTATCATGGAAAATAATAACAATGCAGTTAGGGTAAGCTCTTGGCAATCTAAACAAATTTCTCATATCACTGATTACACTAAACACATTACCTGACTTTGCTGTCACTCACTCTAGGAAATGAGTATTTAATGACAATTCCTGTGATCATTCTGTAATTTGTAGAGAGAGCCTTAAGTGTCAGAAAAAGTTTATAAAAAGTAGTGCCAAAATAGTCTCATTTTCCCCTAATATATTTGTAAACCTAGGTTCCTGAAGTTTCGTAAGTGAGGACTTGTTAAGGTAACAAAATTGAGTTCTATACAAAGTGCCATATTTATTAATATTTTAGGTTCACTATTTTTAATATTTTGTTATTGTTATAATCATACTTCAGAATAATCTAAAAACATCAATGTTAAAAAAACTTCCCAAAATATGTATATATTTGACAGATAAATAGCAAAAATTTAACTAGACTCAGACATCTCACACAACCACCAGAAAGCTTTCTTCATGAGAATAGAAACCTAACTTTCCAGGAAGATAGCTGTGTTACAGTGATCAACCAAACTCCAAGGATGTGCTAAGAGGTGAAGCAACTACCAGGCATGGCATTCAGATCAAACTAGTACTCACTTATACACCCACACACCACCATAAACACACTAGCTAAAATCCTGAAAACATTTTTTAAAGAAAATGACTAATATGAATCAATGGATAATAGCCAGGAATTAATTTCCATCCTTCATCACACCCAATCTGTAGACTCATACACACGTACAATTACATCATTTGTGACTTCATAATTGATGGAGTTCAAGTATGAGGGGATATTTCAGATAACACCCATCAGTTATAGCGAATATGCTATGTTTAATTCTCATAATTCTACAGGTCTTGATATCTTTTAGCATGAGGAAACAAAGGTTTGGAGAGAATATTAAACTTGCTGATGGCAACACACCTATAAAATCAGGAGTTTTTAAAGTCCATTACATCAAAGTTCAGATTAGTGGGAAAAAACATAACCAAAACATTAGTTCTGACATATTGTAGAATTTTTAACTGGAAGCTATCATAACAAATCCTTCCATACTATAAAATAATTAAGACTGTAGCACTAGCTACTGACATCATCTCCTATTTTTTAATACTCTGTGACAAGTGGAATAATCATCTCATTAGACTCATCACTATCCCTGGGAAGTGAACACTGGCATAGCTTATGGTCATGATACAGACTTACCTAAGCTTGACCTTGTGTTGGATCTTTCTATTATTGCATGCTTACTGGGGTTGTTTAATACTGAGCGTTTGGCAAGCGAGATATCAGCAGTGACCCTTGTGATCGAGATCCTGTTGGAGAAGAAAATCAACAGAAGACCCAAAGATTATCAGTGTAATCAAAGGATTCATATTTGCTTATCATGTTACTGCCTTAAACTTTTGCTGATTGTTTTCCAGGTGTTAGCTGTATATTAAATGCTTTACCGTTGTTTTCTCATTAAATCAACTGAAAAAATGCCAGGACAGAAGTTCAAATTTGACAAATTTGGACAGCATTTAGAATGTCATTTGGAACACACACGTTCCCTATGAGAATGGGCATACTGGAGTCCTGGTTCTGATTCAAATTCCAACTTCTGTTTAATGCTTACTCTGGCAGGCAGCAAGTGATGGCTCCGACAGTTGGGCCCCTGGCATGCATTTGGGAGACCTCGATTGCATTCCTAGCTCCTAGTTTGTTCTTATGCCATGCTAGCTGCTGTGGGCATCTGAGGAAGGGATGCAATAGCTCTGTTTCTCTGCCTCTGAAAAAGCTGAAAATTCAGTTTTTAGGAAAATCATTTTTGAATATTCTTATATCTAATATTCCTTGTAACCATGTGAATAGTATCCAAGTGAGTCATGTCATAGGCTATCGTTGTGATTTCTCGTGTTTTCTTTATTGTTTCCATGCTAAAAATTTTTAGTTTTCATTTTTGCTGAATTTTCTAAATGTTATAAAATAATCTTCAAGTTTTCTCCCTCCCTGCTGTCTAAATCTATTCACGGCATTTTCTCAAATACATCTGGAGGCCTTCCAACTTTAACTTAGTTGAGAGCTACAGGATGAGGTCCATGCGGCTGCATGCATGGGCGACAGGGAGTTAGGCACAAGACATAAACATTCTTTAGTTGGGAATCAGAATGTAAAGCCTAATACTGCCAACACCACAAACAGTTCCTTTAATTAATTAATTAATTAATTAATTTGAAAGGCAGAAAGAGACAAAGACATCTTCTATCTGCTACTCTATTCCCAAAATGCCCACAATAGCAGGGGTAGAACCAGGCCAAACCCAGGAGGAGCCTGAACCCCAATCCAGTTCTACATGTGTGGCAGGGGACTCAAGGGACATTACCACTTGCCTTCCACAAGTACACACTGACAGGAGGCTGGAAAGAGAAGTAGAGTTGTGACTCAAACCTAGGCATTCTGAAAAGAAATGTGTCTTAGAGTTTAATTGCTGTGCCAAGCACTTTATATGTAGATGTAGGAGTACATACTAGAAGATATGGCCGAAGAGTTAAAAGCTGTTTACTATCTGGAGAGTAAATATGTAATAAAGTATGGAAAGAGATTATTGGCTTTTGGGGAAAAATGTTTTTATCTACAGTTCATAAAACCCATCCTTTTGGGCATGGTGTAATAGCTCAGTGGCTAAATCCTTGCCTTGCAAGTGCCAGGAACCCATAAGGGCATTGGTTTGTGTCCTGGCTGCCCCACTTCCCATCTAGCTCCATGCTTGTGGCCCGAGAAAGCAGCTTAGGATGGTCCAACATCTTGGGTTCCAGCACTTGCATCGGAGACCTGGAAGAAGTTCCTGGCTCCTGTCCTTGGATCAGCTCAGCTCTGGCCATTGCTGCCCCTTGGGGAGTGAATCAGTGGACAGAAGATCTTGGTCTCTTTCACCGCTTGGTGGTCTCAGGGCCTGCTAGACAGAAGACCCTCAAGAATTCATCCCTCTTACTGGCAACCACAGAGCTAGCTCTTGTTTCTGCATAGTTTTGATTTTTCCAAAGTATCTTATATGTTGAATCACATACATGCAGTCTTTGAGCTGTGTATATCATAGTTGCTTCATACTGCTAAGTGGCACTATTATTCTAAAAAAAACTATTTTTCAACTTTTTGCAAGTTAGAGGACAGACTTATCTAGCATTTAAAAAGCCATTACCATAACATATGAAATCCATTAGTTGCCATTTCACAGCATACTCATATAAAACCAGACTATATGCTCAGCAATAATTTAAGCTCTTACTTATTCGGGGTCTCTGGAATAGAGGATAGTGATACCACCTAGGAAGCAGCAGCTGTAATTACGTTGAGCCCTTGGGAGGTCACAGATGGAAACATCAACTCAGTGTGTTTCTTAAGTGTCTACAAATATTCTACATTATTCTGTGTGCGAACATAAGACTTGTGTATGAGCATGTGTGTCCAGAGTGGAGGGAAACATACATGTATCTGACAGATGCTTACTGGTGTAAGCACCATTAAAAATAATGATGAAACAATGAGACAGAGGGTGTTGAACTATGGAGGGTATAATTTTAGTGTTCAGAGATAATTCCTAAGGTAAAGTGAATATTCAATCAACAAAGAAGGGAGGGAGGGAATGAGTGATAAGCATATTGAGGGCAGATTGAGAACCTCAATTTCTAAGTATGCATAATGGCACCTGACTGGATGCCCAAATACCACCAATGAGCAGAGATCTGTGCCTGTGCCTCAAAAGAGCTCTGGACAGCCTGGGAGAAGGTTCTCTGGTGACAGGGCCTGGTAGACCTGCCCAGAGTGCTACAGAGTGGAGTCTTTAAGGAGTTAAGTCTGCAGGGCCACAGGATTTCCTGTGGTGATGTGTGCTGTTCCTTGAACTGCATGCCTGGTGTTTCCTGCACATGCTGTTGCTCAGCTTCCTTGTTGATGTGGCTGACTTTGTAGCCTGTGAGAGACCACTCTCCCCCTGAAACCCCTGCAGTCATGCTTTGGGAATGGTCACTAATCAGGGGTTTTACTGGGAAGCAGACATTTGGAGTCATGAGGGCAGAATTTCTAAGCACAGTTCAGGCTAGAAGCACCTGATGTTGCAGGTGCCAGAATTGTGCATGAGAGACTTTTTTTTTTTTTGCACTACAGATTTGAACTCAATTAGCTAAGAGTAGGACAGAAGATCCTGGAGGCTTTTAAGTGATTCTTAGCAGCCAGGCTAGCAGTTCACCAGTTTGGAAATTATATAATGTTAAAATAAGGTTCCCACATCAGAATATAAAGTGAAGTAATATTTCAAATTAGATTATTGATTTCCGATAAGATTCCCTTGCAGAAGATTCTGGCACTGGTGTATAACTGTCTGTAGTAATTCAGTATGTGTCCTAACACTTCAGTGTTGACAGCTGATGTTTTCAAAGTTACTGGGGAAGAAAACTGAATTTATCCCAGACAGTAGTGTTTTGTCTTATTTCCAATTTCCTCGTTAATTTACCTGTCTTGTTCTATAAGCTGAATCTGAAGATTGCTTTGCTTACATGATACAGTTGCTTAGGGTAGATCCCATTTTTAAGATCTATTTTCTTAATTTTTTTTTTTTTTTTTACTGGAAAGGCGGGTCTCAGAGAGAAGGAAAGACAGAGAAAGATCTTTCATCTGCTGGTTGATTCCCCAGTGGCTGCAATGGCTGGAGCTGAGCTAATCTGAAGCCAACAGCTTCTTCCAGGTCTCCCACATAGGTGAAGGGTTCCAAGACTCTGGGCCATCCTCCACAAGTGGATGGGAAGTGGAAGAGCTGGGATACTAACTGGCACCTACATGGGATTCCAGCAGATGCAAAGCAAGGATTTAGCCACCAGGCCATCATGCTGGGCTGTGGATTCCATTTTAAATGGGCTGCTCTACTGCATGCAATAGGGAGAGCACGAGGAATTGCTGCCCCTTAAAGTCTTTAACTTCTGTATACCTTCCACAAATGAGCCTAACTGGGTTCCAGAACAGAGGAGGGATTCCTGACAATTTAGTACCTTTCATAACCATTTCCTTTGTATTTTCTCCTTTATGGGCTTTAAAAAATGTTTTCAAAATGTAAATTCAGTTTATTTAATGGATCATTAACAGGTAATTCATTTTGTTGTTTTGGAATGTTCTCTGTGGCTTCTTCCAAGTTTCCACTGCTGCTGTCTTACCCTTCCAAAGGCAAAGACATTTAATGATAAAGTTACTCTGGAGGTTTTGCCATGGTTGAAAAAGTTAAATCTGCAAATGGCTTTTGTGATTTTATCTTCTATCTCCTTTGAGGACCTTTAATTGGTAATTGCAGGCTTGTAATGTTGAACCCAGCTTTGAGATTCAAAGATACCTGTCAACAAAGCTGAATAGAAGTCACCAGAAACAATGGATGCGTACGGCATTCAGATACTGTGCTTGCTTGTTTCTTACATGCAGTCCTCTGCATGGCTGACACTTCACAACAGGGGTCCAAGACACACAGTGTGGCTGGAATCTATCTGCCAAATTCAAAGCTTATTCAAGCTTAAATAGAAGAGGTAAATTAGGAAACTCATCTCACCCCTATGGCTGGCATATGGGAAAGGGCAGCGGGTTAATGCAGTTGTGGACAGCACAGTGCCATTCTAATGTAGCTTTTTGGGTATGTTTGCTCATGTTGACAATATCAAAACTGTGATAAATGACAGATTCAAGAATAAAGAAACAGGAGCTAATTAGGGTAGACTAGATGCATGCCTTTTGTATTTGGCCCATACTGGTAACCTTGGCATGCATTAAAAATCACTTCATACAGACATGGAAAATAAAAATATCTACTTATCAACATTTGATTGTGCAGATTTGAATACATCTTGAATACAAAATATTTCAGTGCCTCTTTCTATTCCCTTTAGTTCTCTGCCTGTTCACATCCTGATGACAGTATTTTTCCTGATACAAAAACTTCCCTCACTACTCTCACTTCCTCAGTTGGGTGTCAGTACAACTTAGAAATGTTTATAGGAGCAGACACAGTCTAGTAAAGAGAGCACTGAGTTAAGCAATCTGAAAGAACACTGACATCAACAGATAAAAAATGTATTACCCTTGGGCAGTTAGGATGTGGGAATGAAAGTTAACAAGGAAAAAGGGGCACCAACTTCATTCTGTTAAAAATATGGAAATGCACACTGGCCTTGTATGTTCCGAGGTCTTCTCTATTCTCAGTTTAAATCTTGAGTTTCCATTTAGTCTCCTCTAACGTCTTCAATGCTTTAGAAGCCATCTTAAATTTTACACACACCCCTACTGATTATTTGATTCAAGTTTCTATTAAGAGTGTAAAAAAACCTCATGAAGCTAAGCCCCCTGTTTTTACAAAGATTCAAAGTAAGCTCTATGGCGCCCCCATGCCTGCCTCTCCAGGATTTACCCTCTTCAAGTCAAAAATCCAGAAAACATCAGTGCGCTGATACTTACCGTCCTTCAAATCTGTGTTTTAAAAAATCAAACAATGCTTTCTGCATCATATCTGTGACCTGTAATGAAGCAATCAATGAAAAAGATAAAAACATTAACTAGTTACGATTAAAACAACTTCACTTAAGAACACTCAAAAATGATTTTCCATTTGGAAAAAGTAGCTTAAAAGTCATGTTTCTCTGAATCTTGATACACTGACAATTAAAATGACAAAGACCCCATGATGTCTTAGACAATAAGTTACTTTGCAACTGGTTCCATTCTCCATTTGAGACTTTCCTAGGTTGAGAAGATGGTAGTGAGCAAAGATCTCCAAAGCAACAGCCAGGAAACCTATCCAGAACCAAATACACCTGGGCCGTGCTGAGCTCTTCAGGGCTGGATCCCAGAGTCAGCGTGACAGAGCTGCCAGGCTTTGGGGCAGGGGAAGGCTGAGGGAGAAGTGGAGGCAGCTACTCACCTCATACCCTTTCAGAGAAGGGCCCACGAGGACCACGGGTCGCATGGAGGGCACTACATCATACGGAGGAGTGTGCTCTGTCTGCAAAAAGAGGAGAGGCATCAGACCATCCCTAACAGGAGGCACCGAACTCTCCGACACGTACAGTGCTTTTTCTGAACTCTGTCATGAGAGGCATTAGCGTTCCAGATATTAGAAATATAGAAGTATATTTTTACTTGCCTCTTTTCTTGGCAATCCCAGTCAATGACTGGGAGGGTTTATTTTGTTACGGTTTCCAAGTTACTGATTGATATACAATTTTCCCACTCTTTTCAAGAAATGACACTGCTGTATTAGTTTCTGAAGCAGGAGGTGCTGCTTTTGAATGAAGAGAAGCATGCCTCATGCAAAAGAGGTGCTTTAGGCTTCACCAGAGGTTAAAGTCCTTGTTCAGATGCATTTGCATTTTCTGAAGAATTGAAAGGATTAGACCTAACACGCTCCAGTTATGGAGGAAAGAAAGATCCCACTGCCTTTGCATCCTTGAGGTTTAGCTTACCTGGATCAGACCTAACTCTGGAACATTGTATCTCTCGCTACCAAATATTAAAAAAAAAATAATAAAAGAGTATCAATTTATGTGCCTGTTCCAATAAGTAGTATTCATGAGCACTGCTCACAGCATAGTTATTAATATTTTGGCAGTTTTTGCTCTCTATAGCTTGGTGTTTAAAAGTTTACAACGTGAGGCTTTTGTGCTTTGGTGGGAAGCAGCTGATGTGAACAATATACTCTACTATGCCTCTAAAATGCTCACGATCAATTTTCATACCTAGCATACCTCTGTAGTTTTGGTAGTGCTTCTCTTATATAACAAATCCATTTCTTTTTATAATAATTAATAATTAATTTCTTTTTTGGGAGATAAGGGGGACAGAGCTAAATTTTGTGACAGTTTCTAAAAGTACCAACATATTTCCAGTTAGTTATTTCAAATAAAATGTTTCATATTATATTTTTTTAAAACTTAATTTGCTTTTTTACATGAAAACTGGCTCTTCTGATAACAGAAAATACTAAATTGATCCAAAACTGAATTTTTTAAAATGCAGAATAAAGATAAATATGGCCTTAGACACTGGGATAAGCAAATTGTGAGTCTGCATTATGGAGTAACTGAACGTACTTAGTTTAAGAAACACATGTACCAAGAAAGAATTGTGCTTTATACTATTTTAGGAATTTGATATAAGAATCTGATATGCGAATATGATTGGAATTTTTACATCAGCCTGTCAGTTGCATTTTATTGTCCATTGCAAATTTTCCAGAGCTTCATTTGAATTTGCTGAAGGGGCAATTAAGGAACCTTTCAGATGCTTTCATCTGAGACTTCCATGACAGTCGCAAGCAATATAGAGAAAAACATTACTGCATTGTGCTGTCCAATTTGTTTAAAATTTTTCCTCATATTCAAAATTAAAATTAACAGACACAGTAAATATAGAACACATTTCTGAACAGGAAGAAACAAGACAAACATAATACAGTAATAGCACAAATGCCACACAAGCACCGCTCTAAAAGCATCCTAAACACATGAAAAATAATCTTTGACTCTCAGGTTGGTTGGCACTGTGAACTCTACATTGCAGTTTACCACATCATCAGTCACATCAGAAGAATGAGTACCAGTGCCGAAGGCATCATAAGCATGTTCATTAAATCCTTACATTTTATACCACCTGGGCTTATACTGAAAGTGTGTAGAAGCCAAGTCATCGTTATAAGGCAGTATGGGAACACCTCTTCTACCATCATTAGAAATAGAAGTTGCATGCATTTTAGTAACAGCTAACAAGAAGTCCTTAAGGCTGACATGGCCCAGGAACTAATACTCTGGTTCCTTTGGTCTATGTGTCTACCAGCTAGCAAAGGGTCATTCATGTTGGTAAACAATCAGTTGCTTCTGAATGGATAGGGTAGCAACAGAAATTACCTTATTTGATGGAATATTGTTATTTTGTGCCACGTTGATAATGGCACCAGTAATTTTCCACCCTTGTTTTTCTGAACTGCTTAGTGGGAAAATATGAAAGTCTTTAAAGTGTTAGAATTGATGGGTCAGCAAACCTCACAAAACTGTTGACTATCATGTTTTCAGTTCCTACTCCTGCTCTGTCAAGACCACAATAGCTTAACAGATTCTTAGGCTTCTCAACCACAGGTACTGCCAGTCATCTGGCTGCGATGAGAAGACAGGAGCAGAAAGATGGGCAGGCTCTCTGTTGTAGACAAACATCAAGATGGGGTGACACAACAGTCCTGGTGTGTTAATTTTTGCCTGGAGTGCTGAGGTTCTCTCAGTAAAGTTGCCACACTTGATTGAAAAACAAAATTTTACAAGGCCAGTCACCAGCACCTCATTAGTGTCGAGAGAGCAAAAACATTTGTTTGCAGAAGAACAGAACTGTGTGTGTTGAGAATGTGGCAGAAAGTGGAATTCACTTCATGTCCACAAGCATGCAGGTGTCGGAACAGACCTGTGGTTGCACCAAACCTGCTGACATTAGGGCAGATGACTCTAGAACACAGCATAGTGGCTGTGGAAAGTGGTAGGGAAAGTGGGGGTGGGGGTGAAAACCAAGGGAGAGGGACTTCTAAACTGCTCAAAGCTACAAAACATGCCAAGAGGATGTAGACTGAGTAGGGAGCTCTAGAGGACCCTATGCTTTCTAGTCAGGACAAGTAGCATCCTTGCATAGCATCTTGGTTGGCCAATGGCAAAGACTCTACGTGTGGCCACCAACCTCATTGTCCAACAGGTGAGATGCTGACATCTGACTGATGGAGAAGGCAAGAACATTGGGAAAGTATTCATATATGACAATAGGAAAAACTCACAGTAAACCGCCAAAACAAGCCTGCAGTTTTCCACTGGTCTTGTTCATCTGCAGATTTTGCACCTAGTGGATTAGAAGTTTAAATACTGACTAAATTAAAAATTGAATATTCCTCTTTTTTTTTCTAGTACAAGCTAGGTATCTGGATATCATAAATCAGAATCTAATAACTGTTTTCATATGCTTGATTATAAGTTAAATTTTGGGGAAAAAAGACAGGAGAAGCAAGCACAATTGAGGTGCATTAGATGGAACTGTTAGTGTCTGACATCTGAGTTCCCTTGGTGGTAGATATTATTCCATCAAAAAGGATAAGTACTGCAATGGTGTTTTAACCACTCAGTGAATTCAGCTGTTTTGAAACTCATGGACTCAATTAGCTGTTGATAGGTTCATAGGACAGAAAGGATTGTATTTAATAGAACTGCGGGAAATAATGCTAATGATGCCAGTGGCAGGATAAACACAGCTTATGTCAATGTAAACTTACCGATTTCTGCTTCTGCTTAGCTACAGCAGCATGAAAAAGAAACAAAGAATAACAGAGCATGCATGTTATTGGCTTGTCAAAGGACGCAGACGGTCAACAGGACTAGAAATGTGACGCAGTGCAGTTCAGCGAGTGGACAATGGGAGCCGGAAAGTTCATGTTACCTTCTTAAAGAAGGGCATTCTTTTCTCTTTGGAGTGGGGTGACGTTACACTGTTTGCACTGGGTTTAGGGGAGCGGTGGTTTGCTGGAATATCATTTTCTTCTGCATCTAAGCCAGTAGCATCTATGTCTATAGCTATATACAGACAAACAATTCAAAAATCATCAGGTGGACAGGAGAGGAAAAACAGGTTATAAAGAAAATAAAAATGAAAACAAAACTATCCACTATAAAAGGTCTACTATGAGTGCTCAACAAAGTACACAAAGAAAGTAAAATTCACAGGTACAGCATGTTAAGAATGCAATGTAATCAAATTTAACATGTATGCTGCAAAAATCAGTTTCACGCTGGACCTCTTGGAAACCATTTCCTAGAATTTCTAATTTGTAGCATCAAATGATAATGTTGACACTTTATCAGCTGGGTAAAAGTACAGCACAGATTATTTGGCTTCACTTCTTACAACATCTGAAACCCACTTTTAGAGAACAAGCAACTATATCAAAAGCCTTTATCACAATGTGCCTCAGACTTAGCATTTTGCTAGAATTTGTAGGAAATGAAGGGCAGTAACAAAAAGTTCACTGAAATTGCAATTGGTATTTAATACAAAGTAAGACTTAAAAAATCTGCAATCTGGGTGGCTAGGGCTTCATGTATAAGGCACATAGTTCTGAAGGGGGAATCCAGGATGGGTGGGAAATGACTGCAAGATGACACGTGTACCCTCAGGTAGACCTGGCTGAAGACCAACTGGGAACCACCAGATCTGATGACACACAAACAAAACTGGTTTGAGAATGACATGAGAGAACTTCACATAACTTCTATAAGGCCCTGGGATTTCATATAAAGGACAGGGTGCAAGGGCACAAAAATTTAAGACTCATCTTAAAAATTATGGGCTTAGATTTGTTGTGCAATACGCTTTGGCTTTCAAATCTTCAGTCTGAAAAAGAAAGCTTTAAAAGTAAATGCTAAGGGAGAAAAGAATGCATATTCTCACTTGAAAGTTTATTACAAAATGCTTCCACATTCAGTTACTATAGAATTTTATCAACTGCAGAATCAGAGCTGGAAGTATTTTACACATCAACTTCTACTCTATAATATCTATTAACTGAAAGATATGCAGAGTTTCAGTTACTCATTTCTTGCCTTGAACCAGACAGAACCAGGACCAGAAATCTGATTTTTCTTCTGCAGTAGCTTCCTGTCCCTGTCCTATGCCCACCTCCAGCTAAGTCCCTTCTCAGTTTGGGTGTACTTGCTCAAGTCCCTTAGTGTCCCCACTGGAGTCACGTTCTCACTAGCAGAAATCAGGGGGCTATTCCTCGGTCGACTTGCTCTCAGATTAATCCATGGTTATTATGACCAGGGGAAGAAAAAAAATTTACTCATCCCAGGAAAACATCCTATTACACATGTTAGATTGCTAACAAAAACCACAGTATGTTCAGATATAAGGAACATATTATGTTTAAACAATAAACAGCCTTGTGTGGTTATACAGCTCCTATTGTAAGCTGAACTGGTACTCACAACAAGCTTCGCAAGAGATGGGAGACCATCTGACAGAATCACACAGTTTTTCAGTCCTGAAGTTATTAGGGACATTCTATGATTCAGCCCTTTTATGACTTTTCATTTGGTAAATGAGAAAACCTGTGATGAAGTGAATGCCTGGCATTCTTGGCACAACATTGCAAATGGCAACAATTGTCAGCATAATACGAGCACTATGGTTTTTCATCAAGTCAAGGTATAATACCCTGAATTAATTCTAGGTACGTAGACAGATTACCTAGTAAATCTGACCCATCTCTGCATATTGATGAGCACTGTGATGTGTGGGAAGCATTATTAAATGTGCCCAGGGGGCTGAAATAGTGCAGATTTTTATACCATTCTATATAGCGAACCCTTTGCTCAAGTAGAAAAAATCTCATTATGGGGCCTACTGAATGGCTCAAGGCTGGGAAAAATATGAAAAAAAAAGTCGTGAGAGAGATGTATAGGAAGGACACACTCTGGAGGATCTCATTATTCCTAGAGCATGCCTTAACCAGCATCAGGTTTCCCTTCTGGTGGCAAACTGCCACATTCTCTTTCCTGTCTTTTATTGGGTGTATCAAGCATACACTCCTGAAGGCATTGCTGAAACTAAGGTGATCTAGTTTGCATGTGAGAGTTGCCAGAAAACTTCAAAGGAATGTGATTTTATGATCTGCCCATTGGATTTAGTCTACTATGATTATGAGACGGCTTTTTTCCCCAATAAGAAGATGAGAAAGGCATAAAGTCATAGTTATTTTGCTGTTGACACTGCCCAGATATGGAAACCCACCCACAGCCTGAGTCAAGTTTCAAATTTTGCCTATATTTGGACAAACAGGGCTTGAAATGCTGAGAACTTTCCAGCTTCTTTGAATACTGGTAAACTTAAATCTAAATGCATCTAGGTTCATTCTGAAGCACAAAATATTCTGAAGTGTATAGTCAATTATAGAACACACTAGAGAAACTCCCCAAGGCAGCTAAGCGGCATGTAGCCTTCTGCAGAATTCCCTGGGCTCTATCAGACTCTGCAGCCTTCCCGGTCCTGGGAGGTGGTACCCTTCCCTGGGGTCTATCAGACTCTGCAGGCCTTCCCGGTCCCGGGAGGTGGTACCCTTTTTCAGTCTTGCACGTGCAGTTCCAGACCTTAGCCAACACAAATGTTGACTTGGCAAAAACTGCTTCCATCTCTCCAAACTCATTTTTTTCATTCTTATTCACTTGGATTATTATTATCATTTTTCTTAAAATGCTCATTATAAGTTGACAGAGACCGACCCTCGGAAACACTCTTTTTTGTGTGTGTGTGTTTAATTAAATGTTTAATTTTCTTTTTGTTTTTATTGTTACTAACATTGTATTATGTGATACAGTTTTATAGGTGCTTGGATTTTGAAATTTTAAATGTTCGAGCTTGGTTAAAGCTGAGAACTCAGGAGTGACCCACATGTACCCACATATGTTGCTGTGGCATATGCCTTCTGCAGCTGGCCTCTACACCATGCTCAGACGGGAAATGCAAATTTTTCTTTTTCCAGATCCCTGAGAATATCCAAGCATGTTTACTTTGGACACATACTTATGTGCTTTGGTCTAGCCATGAATAATAGGAATTGTAATCAGGGCCTCTGGGAGGCAAAAATTATGAAAACTTAAAACTGCAACCCAATCCACCCTTGGCAGGTAAATTAGAGGTGGACAGTGGGAACGTTTGCAGAAATTTCTGGAATATTTTTTATATCATTTGGGATACTGAAATGCAACTTATCCGAGTTTTGATGCACTTGTCACATACTTTGTAACTGCTTATATTTTGTAGTTCTCCCATGTTTTTAAACTTTCAGTATTCAGAACAGTTATGCTCATGCCCATATGTATATAAAACTTTGGTGAAATTCTATATCGTATTTATTTTAATACATTAAGTTCTTCATGGAACTTTAGGTTATGATAAACAGCTAGCTATGAGTTATTTTATACATACACTAACATTCTTCAAAATGTATATGCCTTTTTATTACATATTGTTCTACATTATAATAAATTAAGTACTGAAAAAGGAAATGGTTGAATATCCTTGTCTATAGAAGAGGGCTTCATCACAATGTGATGTCGCATTTTTTTTCCATTTTAGGAGCCTGGGAACAGTTGTGGAGTACCTCCGAGCCACTCTATGAGCTACATAAGCTGAGCCTGGGGTTCTTGCAGGCATCTCTGCCACGTCACGTATTCGTGGAGCAAAGACTATGCGCCCTTCCCCTGTGCATTCAGGGAGTGCCTGTTCCAGAACGCCCAGAGGGAGATGCTAGTCTCACCTAAGAGCCTCTTGGGCTACAAAACTCATTTCAAAGGCATTTTTTTTTTGTAATTAATTTTGAGCAGTTATAGTTGCTGTAAGTAGTTTTTAAATCAATATGCATCATAAATAATGTATTTCTAACTGTACTCAGAATTTGCTCAGTGATGTAGTCTGCCAATCTTTGCTTACAGGGTTACTGTTTGTCAACATTCAGGAAAGAAGTGTCATGAGTAGAACAGAGAAATTCTGCTCTTAAGACACACTAGTGTCACACTAGTCACAGTGTGACTGACTCCTTAGTTTCTTGATAGAAGCACAATTGTCTGTTTCTGTTCTCATTGCATTTCCTGCTCTCCAGAAATCACACACAGAACAGTTTTGCTCAAATATTTGGGTAGCCAGTCCTGACAATCTGACTTCCAGTTCTACATCATAGGAAACTATGGCAGTGATCTTGGCTTTCAAGCAATCATTAACCGCATATTTTATACACATATATGAAGCTACAAATTCTATACAAAATGGCACAGCTATAGGATTAGCAAGCAAGCATGCAATAACCTGAAGGAAAATTATGTCCCATAAAACATATACTTACACTAAAATTATCTTAAATTCACATTTAAATGGGTTTCCTTTATCTAACCACTCTAAGAAGGAACCCATTGTAACTGTTGCCAGCTTTCTTGATGCATCCATGTGCCCTCTACATCTTTCCTTGTCTTTCTGCATGGTTCAGGCCAGACTATTTCCTCCATCTTCACCTCTGTCCACATTCTGTGCCTGCTTAAAGTCCTGATGTTCTTATCCAGCTGTTCTTTTAACTTTGAAGCCCACCACTTACATTATAACCATGCCAACGGGCTGGACACTTTAGCAGGTACCAGGAATAAAAGATTAACTTATATTCATCCCTTTGATCACCTGCAGCGACTCAGATAAACACAGTGACATATTTGCATTTTGTTTTAAGCCAGGAAAAAAAATGGCCTCTTATTGTTCCCAACTCTTCTCACTTTTTACCTCTTTTAACATCTGAATTAAGATATAACCTAGCATGTGTAAATTCATACAACTAGCTAAGACTGGGAAAAACATGAAATGCAGAATGTTCTATTTATCACCAATTACTCACTTACCAGATGATGGAGGTGTAGACTTTCTGGAACTAGGTACAATGTCACCCAAACTGGATGATGAATTTCCTCCTGATTTACTGGAGTAAAGCAAAAAGTTACATTAAATCTGACATTTATTTCAAAACCAGAAACATTGATATCACTCAACTAGCATGATCACTGTTTCTTTAGTTGAAGTTCATCTTCTCTGTAAGGAGGCAAAACTCTGGTGGAGAGTCTTGGAGTTCTTGAAACCACTGTGTGATTATTTCTGTTTTTAAACTCAAAGTTGATTTTAAAAAGTAAAACAGAGAAAGTGAAAGAGAACTGGGTACTTTTGGCAGCCTGCAGGTTCTCCAGCTGAACCACAGAGAGTCAAGGAGCACAGATTCCTTTTGCTTTTTTATTTCGAGAGTCCCTCAGCGACAACACACGTGTAACCTTAAGGCTAACATTTACTTCTTGTCTGGTCCCAGCTCCACTTTATCATTTCTAGCGTACTAAGACTAGCTGTCCTGAGCAACCTATACAAGAAAAATAATGCCTAAAGCAACACCAAATCTTGCTAATCTTTGAAAGGTACAGAAAGAAACCTAGCAGAGCACTCGGGAATATACCACTGAGAGCGTATCAGAACCATGCTCAAGCATGACTGACCTGGAGGATTAACACGGTCCATGCAGGACTAACATGCACAACATTCACGCCAGAGCTAGCAGAGTCTGAACACTGATGTGATGGGTTCCCAGTGGCCTAGACACGTTAGAGTTGGTATCACAACAACAGGATTCATGTTTGTTACCAGCATACTTAATGACATTGTATAAAATGACTACATCCTAGATGAAGGTGACAAGAAACTTGGGCAAGAGAACCTCACTGTCCAATGTTCATGGTCACGGTGCAGCCCGGGTGTAGCTGAAAGCATGTGCTACAGGTGTGTCTGCATGAAAGGTCAATGCTTACTTACAGAGGTATCAGTGTGGAACTGTAAGATCTGATAGAGCACTGTAACAGGCTGGACTTCAGAGCTTTAGCATTTTAAGGCAAGAACCAAACACTAAACTTTAACGATCAGTTAATGAGATAACTCTATATCTTCTGAGGTTCTTAAATGATACTCCAATCCTTTTAATAATACCATAAGACAGTATTAAAACTAACCAAAGAAGCCATGTCTGGCAGTAACAGAAGGATACTTATTACCATGAAAAAAAATCTTTCCTTCCAGAAATTTAGTCTTTTTTAAAAAATTGTTTTCTAGGGGCTGATGTAATGGCTAAATAGGCTATTCCTCCACCTGCAGGCACTGCCATCCATCTGGATACTCCACTTTCTTTCCAGTTCCCTGCTTGTGGCCTGGAAGAATAGTACAAGGTGGCCCAGGTCCTTATCCTGAACACACATGGGATGTCTGAAAGAAGCTTCTGGTTTCATACCAGCTCAGTTCTGGCTGCTGCCGCCATTTGGGGAGTGAACTAGAGGACACAAGATTGATCTCTTTCTGTTTCTCCTCTGAAAATTGACTTTTTCAAATAAAAGTAACATTTATTTCCTAAAGTGTTTATCCTAACTTCAATTCGGGCAAGGCTGGTTTCATATCCTCTTTCAATTTCAATGTAACAGTCAAAATGTCATGAGTCGTACAAAAATCGAGGCAAACACTGCAAACAGTGGTGCACATTTGCTTTTCACTTTCACTTCTGTGAAAATGCCAAGATTCTGAGCCATGCCCAAAATTCTATTGCCATCGATTTTTGTCAATTTTTATCATTTGTACATCAAAGTTTTTAAACACTGCCAGACTCTGGTTATGTTGTCTGAACAAAACTATGCTTAAACTGTGAGAAGACAAATGTAAGAACCTGAGTAAACAAGTAGACGTATTTGCACATATTTAGGCAGAGCCTGGATAAGACAGGAAAAAAAAGTTAAGCCAATCAAAAGGTATATCACTATACAAAAAATAGCTTAACCGTCTTTACTAACATTATGCACTCTCTAAATGTGAATCATTTGTTGTCCTTCAGAAAACATGCGAGGGTACTCCCACAAAGCTACAGAGGGACAGTTAGCTAGGGTATGTAAAGTAGGATCAATATGCTGCTCAGGAATCCAGTTTCTTGGTAAGAAATACAGAGAAGGCAATCAGATGATGGCTCAAGTAATGAGCTTCCTGCCAGCCACACAGAAGGCTTAGATTGATTTCCTGGCATCCGGTTTTAGCCCAGCCCAGCCCTGGCCACTGGGAACATTTACAAGTGAACCAGAGGATGAAATCTTGGTTTCTCTTTGTCTCACAAATGAAATCAAACAGAACAACAACTTTGTAGAAAATGGAATTAGACTTTAGGTTTGTTTTGGTGCAAAAGACTTTCAAGATCCATGAAGGTCTTAAAATAATTCATAGAAAATAGATCCAGTGTGATGACTTAATGGCAAAATCCTCGCCTTGCAACTGCCAAGATCCCATTTGGCTGCCAGTTCATGTCCTGGCTACTCTACTTCCGATCCAGCTCCCTGCTTGTGGCCTGGGAAAGCAGTAAAGGATGGCCCAAAGCCATCCTTTATGACCCTACATCCATATGGGAGGTCTGGAAGAAGCTCCTGGTTCCTGGCTTTGGATCAGCTCAGCTCTGGCAGTTGAGGCCATATGAGGAGTGAACCAGCAGATGGAAGATCTTTGTCTCCCCCTCTCTCTGCAAATCTGATCTGCCTTTCCAATAAAAACAAATTAAAAAAAAATCATAAAAAATGCATAGTGCGAACAAAGTACACATGAATTTTCAAATTTCTGCAAACTAAACATCTTTTAATTCAATTTTCCATCGTTTTCAAGTTCCCTCATACTTACTAAAGTAAATAATATTCTGTAGTATTCAAATACTATGATCAGTACAGATAAAAAAAAACGCATAAAGCTAACAACACTAGAGACTGAAGGACAAGGATTCTACCTTCAGGCTCCCTGTAGGTAAAAGGAATATGCACTGTTTTTTTAAGCATGCCTTGGCATTTACATTAATACATGTTTCTCAGACTGAATTCCTCCAAGTACACAGGAACTAATGAACGTGAACTCTAGAGGTCTCAAAACAGAGAAATCCAACTGCACTAAAGAGCCTAATAATTAAAAAAATGCTAGTCACATACCGATACATTACAGTAGGCATCACTACTCCTGAATAAAAGATGGGTTCTCATGAAACTATTAAATGCATCTTGATAACAGGATGCTAGACTTTATTAATGTCTATACCGAAAATGCTACGATACTCTTAAATTTCAGAATGATGGATTTCTGACTGTTGCTGAAGGACTATACTATTGTAATATATGGGGCAAAACAGTTTATTATGGGGGAGGGGAATGAGGAGGGAGGGGAGGCGGGAGGGGAAATTCCTGAACTGTGTCATGAAAAATAAAAATTAAAAGAAAAAAGGTCACCTGTTTGTTTCTAAAAAGAAAAAAAAAGTGGTTCAAGGAAATCTAGAAAATGACTGCAATGTAGTTCTAAGGCTCAATTTTGGTGATGTCTGCACATATTTTAAATTACACATGTAAAACAATGTTTTTGATGTGTAAATTATGCTCCAATAAAATTACAAATACGAAAAAAAATGCTACTCCATGAAGAGCAGGATTTGAAGTCACAAAGCATATTCTATTTCATTGGTTAGCTGGCATTTGGAAAAAACACCCTTGCTGACATTGCAATATTAACAAAGGAACTATAGAAACAAGAAAGATACAAGCCAAAGAAGACAGAAACCTAGCTATTCACAGGAAGGAGCCTGTGTTCTGTCCTTTCACAGAAGAGGCGTGCCCCATCCCTCCCCTCTTACAAAGGGTTCAAGCTAAGATTCAACACACAGATGAGCAGGACTTCCTGAGGTGTGCACAGCCTGAGGGAGAGTTACTCAGCTCCAGCCTATTTCTCCAACTCACTTAACTGTAAAGGCAATTTTAACTTGTTTCATACTTAGCTTCTCTTTAAGTACTTAACAGTGAATGTAACTGAAAACTGAGCTTCTCATGTGAAAATGAAACTAACAGATGAAAAGAGCTGCTATTTGCTGATGTCATCTGAGGTTATCATCTTGAGGACGTCTCCCTGGCAGCCAGGCCGCTGTGGACTCTGGTTTTCGTCACCAGGGCTGCTCCGTGTCATGGCAGTTTCAACAGATGATTAGGACTTCAGAATTTCCTTTGCACTGAAGCTCAGATTCAAAACTTTAACCTTTGTTATTCCATAAAAAAATGACAGTGAATTTGATTCCCTTCCAAATTAGAGGCAAATCAGATGCTGGGATAACAGTTTTTAAAATGTAGAATTCCTACTGTTTTTTCTATAAGTCATTATCGCCAGTCTCATTTTGAACACATATTCAAAGATGAACAATACAGTCAACAGCAGTGCAGAATGACAGTGTAATCTGAACTCTTACCAAAGCACTTGACGTTTTTCTCATACCTGGAATAGAATTTCCCTTGCTTGGCTCTCTGTTCGTGCTGTAGCCTCATGTTTTCTAGTTTGACTGGGCTTGGAATGAATCCGATTTCACAGCCTTCTTTAACCAAACGCCCTATCCACCAGTCATTGTTAAATTTCTAAACACAAAATCAAAATCATTAAGATCAGTCCGCAGGAATTCAGAACTTTGAATCACTGTTATTGCAAAACAATTATTTTAAATGGAACAAAATATGGCAACGAACTATGTAATGACTGTCACAATTCAAGAAAGTTTTGGATTTGTGGCTTGAGTGGATAAGAGTGAAATATTCCTGGAATGTTAACAATCCATCAAAGGCTTTCTGCTTTCTCTTTTCACTGGTGCTACCTTAGGTCTGGGCTGAATTCTTTCCTAGCTACTGCTGTTAGGATGGGCAATACAAGTTTCCTAGGTTCAAAGACTGGCAGTCTTTCCTAGTAAGAGACTATAAAGAACATTGAGGTGTTACACTCTTCCCTATAGGTAATCAAAATATTTGGGAGTGTTAGGAATGAATGATTGGACAGGAGTGATAGCTCAATAGGCTAATCCTCCACCTGCAAGTGGGAGCCATCCCATATGGGCACCAGTTCACGTCCCAGCTGCTCCATTTCCCATCCAGCTCCCCGCTTATGACCTGGAAAAGCAGTAGAGGATGGCCCTTTCAGCTTCTGATGGGCTCAGCTCTAGTCACTGCGGTCATTTGGGGAGTGAACCAGTGGATGGAAGATCTTTTTCTGTCTCTCTCTGTAAACCTGCTTTTCCAATAAAAATAAGTCTTAAAAATGAATGAGTGCCAACAGGTATATAAGTACCCAAGACAAAGTTAATAGATTATTTCTCTACAGTTACTAAAGGCTAAACATATATCTCTTTCAGGTGAAATATTTATCTTAAATTTTTATGATTTCATTTCATTTCATTTCATTTCATTTTTCTCAACCATGAAAGTTAGTGCCCAAACACTTCAGGAATTTCCATTCTTTCTTTTCTTTCCATGGTGGGCAGAGATCTTTCTCTAAGCATGAGTCATCTAACCACCTGTTACAAAGTCAAATTCTAAGCACTCCATCATTTGTAAAACAAAACAAAACAAAAGCCTTTTCTTCCTTCCTGTTCAGCCAGTATTATCACCTCTCTCTAAAAGCTCTAAGACTTTGTACTTGTGACTCCTTTTGGCAGTTGTCCCTGTCTCCATTCATGGCCTTTAATGCAGTGATCAGGTAAACTTGCCTGACTTGTCAGCCCCAGTGGACATGTTCAAACTGTAAACCCTTTCAGGTCCAAGAAAATCTCACATTACTCATTGAGAATATTATATGGGGGAATTCCTAGTCACTCAGTATAGTGTTCCACAAAGAATACACAAGATAAAAATGTTGATCCAAAGCAAATCTCAATTGAGAGTTGATTTTTCCAATTTACAAATTAAATTAAAAGGTAGTGATGGCTACCATGGAGTGTTTCTTGCCTTATTGACCCACATTTCTCTCATTTTCATTTCTGCCCTAGAAAGTTAACATCTGAGGACTAAAAAGAGACACCAGCACTCTGGTTCACCCATTGTGAACTGGGAACCCATGGATTCTGGATACTCAGCTCTCCCCAGACAACTATACTTTGGATGTCAGGAAAGCCAAACAAATGAGAAAAGTCCAAGTTAAGCATGAAACAGGATCATCTACTCTAGCAATTTCCAATTACTAGCTCAAAAAGCTCAAAGGGACCCTGAGAAGGTTGAGAATCATTTAGTGTGAACATCATACACAGGAGGCCATGCACAAAGCTGTTTCACACAGTAAGAAATAAAAGATTCTTCAATGTGAAAAATTTCACCGACAAAAATGGAAATAGTTTTCCTTACTTCCTTAACATGCAGAAAATCTTTTGCTTCAAATGAGATGGCCATGCCTGGCACTGGGACATCATCTTCATGGGCTGCACTGTAGCTGACATTTGTCCGAACTGCAAATGCAACAGGCTTTGTCTGAAGAGAGAAAAGGAAAGGACAAAAAAAAAATAAGAAACAATAGTGCCCATCCCCTTTCCTTGCAAGACAGACACTCAGACCAACTGTTGTAATATCAGTCATCATATCACCAAAAAAGCTTATTAGTATCCATATTGCACAAGACCTGGCCCTCAGCTACATTTACCGGTTTCTGAACTTTCAGTAAGACCACTGTTCTCTTTGACAGTTCTATGAGGAAGGACGGTGAAGCTCAACCGTGGAAAGAGGTGCTTACAAAACAGCCTGTAGCAACTGAAGCCAGGGAAGCACAAAACAGAACCAAATTCCTTCTCCCCCATCTCTCAATCACTCTGCCTTGAAATAATTTTTTTTAACACTTTGCCTTAAAAAAAGAGTTTTTTAATCTATCTCACTGCCAGGGTTGAATCTCTTCTGCAGTAGTTGACTGCCTTCTCTCACGGGAACACACTGTGACAATCTTACAGCATTTAGATATTTGTGCAGATTGTGAAGACTGAAAGCTGCTCTCTCTCTCTTTTTTTTTTTTTTACAAAATGCTAAGAAAAAATGATTCAGTATAGAAAAGGATAAAATAATTAAGCACAAGTCCACCTTGCAGCCTCAAACTTGATGAATAATTTTACGCATAAGAATTACGGGTATTCATTATAAAAGTCACATATTTCTCACCCTTCTCTTGAATCAATTTGAAATCCAATAAATCAACTGGCAGTGTAAAATCATTTTGTTTAGCTTTATTGAAAAAGACTAAGTAACTTTGCCCTACTCCAACATTACTTTAATGAATCACTAATGACATAATTCCAAAAGGTACAATATTTTGGATGAAAAAAGAATCAGGAAATGAATGTATGCTACAACTATAGCAACTATTATTCATGACTGTGGGAAATTATGAAAGCAATGACCTTTTATTCTATTATACTTCCTCCTTGAGTTTGCTCAGTCATTAAAGAATAACACTAATCAAGATATCATTCAGTATTTGAGGTTTTAAAAAGGTATAGTTCATTTGTATTCTCGGCACATATTCATAATACTACAAGACAGAAAGACTGGGAAGACCGGAAATGGTGACAAGAAGTGTCTATCTCTCTTGCTCTCTTTCTCAGTGTGTTTTTACCACATTATGAGCAAACAGATTTCTTAGAACTCTTCGCCTGGTCTTACTGGGGACAGCCAGCAGGAACTGGGATGGGGAGTGACAGATACTAACCATCCCAATCTCCCAAGCTATCAGTTGTACCTGCTGTTCCGGTTGGAGACTGAGCTAAGGGTTTAAGCCCATCAAGCAGTTAAAGTCCTTTCCCAGTTTGCAGACTGGGAAAACAGAACCCAGATCTTGGTATAGGCATCATAGACGGAAAGTGATTTAGATATCTAAAAGTCACTTCTTGGCATTATTATTTTTAATGATATACATTATGATTTTAATGATACACTGATGCTTCCCTGGTCTTGAAATATGAAATTAAAAAATGTGCAGATAGAAGTCAACCATTGTTTTACCACAGAACCCCACACTTTTTTTTAAAAAGATTTTTTTCCCTCTTTATTTTTATTTTTGTTCATAATCTTTACATAGTTGATTAGGGCACAAGGAATCAAGGGTTAGATGAAAGTGGGTGAGACCATCGTTGTTGCATTCTCTTTCTTCCTTCTTCTATTTGGGGGAAGGGGAGAGATCAGGGGAGAAGCCACATCCAGCCTCCCACCCATCCCAGGGTCCCCAATGTGGGGCATGCTCCGAGGGCTCCGCTCAAGCGGTTTTAATAGTTCAGCAGTTCTGAATTGCTGTCAATCTCGCCATTCCTAGCTCGATGAAATCTCTCCAGGATCCACTGGCTGACATATTCCACCTCAGAATCTCCACTTGCTGAGATTTTCACTGCCAACCCTTGGCTGGAAACCCACACTTTGATGGTACAACAGTATTTGCTTTTCTTTCTTGGAATTTCCTAAAGTACATAAATTTTATTCTCAAGCTGCAATCATAATATATTTGATTTTATCCAGTTTTAAGAGCAATACATTATCAATATGGTATATTTGTTAATCTCTAATTTAAAAATTATTTTAACAATTCATTCTTTTTAAAGCTTTAGGATTATAACTTCTTTAAGAATGAGAAATATTATGCCTTGAAAAAAACTTCGTATAAAATGTTTTTTCCTCAGGGTAGATTCCAAAAAGTAGAATGAAGAAGCCAGGAGTTACAAAGACCTTTTTACATTCTACCCCCAACTTCGTCCAAATGGGTTGTACCTTCTTATACTGTAACCAGCAGTGTAAGAAATGCTCCTTTTCAATAAGATATCTTAATAGGACTGAATTTTACCATTAGAAATAGAATTTTCTTTCATACATCCATCTAAAATTACAATTGTTTCCAATGACCAAAAAGGATCAATTTTTTTTATGCTCCATGAACTTTTACTTTATTTCTTTTATTTTTTCCAAGATATAAAGTATGGCATTTTTCATCATTATCAGATGCAAATTTTTACTGTACAACATTATAGAGAAGCTCACTGAAAAGTTTGGCTTCTGGTAACTTTTATTAATTTTTGAAATATCTTAGCAGAAGACACATTGGAGAAAAGGAAAAATAATAAAGGATGATGAAGGGTGGTATTTGATTCCAGAGGCCACACATCATTTGATGTTCTCAGGCTGAGCTATCAGTGGGGAATGTGCCTCTTCCTTTGTCTCACCTCTTATAACCAATGAGACTACTCAGATGTGGAGGTTGATATAGCAGTCCATGTCACAGAACAGATAAGAAAGAGCAGCAGAAAGCTGTACCTTGATATCTGCATTTCAGGAGCTATGTTCCTAAAATTAGACTGGAATATTTATAGTCACGGTAAGGGTGCTGGGGAGGGGATAAAGTTAACCAAGGTAAGAGAGTCTGTAAGAAAAACAGAAAGATGCTAACCAAATGACCATGTCACTTGCGATTCCCTGAACTCAACTCCACTCCACTAAGCTGAAGGAGTGCATCTATCATGCGAAGGGACTTGCCACATTAATTTCACTTAGATGGGTTTCAGACACAGATTGTAAACAAACCTGGATTTGAAAGTTGTTTCTACCAACTAGGAGGTGAGTGACCTAAGAAATCCTTTCCTCTCACTGAATACATTTTCTCAAATGAAATATAACACATGCCTTTAAAAATAATTTTTGAGAAGGAACAACATAGAATGATAGAGAGAAATCTCACTCCCTAAATGGATGCAATAACCAGGTTTGGGAGCAGGCCAAAGCCTGGAGCTTCATCTGGGTTTCTCAAGCTTAGGCAGGGGCCCAAGTTCTTGGGCTGTCTTCCTCTGTTTTCCCAGGACCATCAGCAGGTAGCTGGATCAACTGCTGCCTGGCTTCAAACTGCTGGCCAAACAGAATGCCAGTGTAACAGGCAGCAGCTCTTTCTGCTATTCTAGAAATGCCATTCCCCAGAACACCTATCTGCCAGGTTGTTGTGTTATCTCAGAAAGTGCATACCATGAGGTTGGGCTAGTGTTTGGTACCTAAATTGAATGTGCTATAGATAGACACTGGCTACATAGAAAAATAAATGCTATATACAGCTCAATGCTTCCCCATATTCATTCCTCATCTGTTAGGTTACTGCACATACTCCTCTAGTCTCTCCCTCCTCAAGCCAAATGACATGAACGCATTTTAATATCTGTCATGTGATGGATGCCGTGCAGCTGTGACAACTGAGATATTTTTTATTCAATATGGATCCTTTCGTACTCCTAAGAATATGAGACAATGGAAAGCTTTTTTGATACACATTGTGTTTATGCAAGTTCTATAATTTTTTTCTTTGATAGTTCTAAGATACTAATTTTTCCCCCTGCAAATCAGCTTGACTTTCCAAGGGATATTCCCTAAAGAATCACTAGATTTTACCCTACAAGGAGATCCTGGCCTTGACCTGTCCCAGCTGTGGCCTTTGAGGCCATTTGTGGAATGAACCAGTGGATGGAAGATCTCTTTCTTCTTTCTCCCCCATCTCTCAATCACTCTGCCTTGAAATAATTTTTTTTAACACTTTGCCTTAAAAAAAAAGTTTCTTAATCTATCTCACTGCCAGATTAAAAAGTTTTTTAATCTATCTTCTGCCTTCTCTCACAGGAACACACTGTGACAATTTTACAGCATTTAGATATTTGTGCAGATTGTGAAGACTGAAAGCTGCTCTCTCTCTTTTTTTTTTTTTTTTTACAAAATGCTAAGAAAAAATGATTCTGTATAGAAAAGGATAAAATATTAAGTACAAGTCCACCTTGCTGCCTCAAACTTGATGCATAATTTTACACATAAGAATTATGGGTATTCATTATAAAAGTCACATATTTCTCACCCTTCTCTTGAATCAATTTGAAATCCAATAAATCAACTGGCAGTGTAAAATCATTTTTTTCCTGGCTTTTAGTTATAGTGCCTTTTCCTTTACAACACTTTTTCATAACTGATAGAGAATATTCATGCAAAGAGAAGTTGAATACTAACATACAACATATACACAGTCAGTCTCATAGACCCCAAAAGCCCTTTGAAGACCCTAGATGGGGAGAACTGAAAGGCCCCAGCTACACTAACTCTCAAAGAGTAAGCTGTAAGTCACACAAAAATCCCCCCCCCTTTTTTTTTTTAATAACTTGAAGGATCTAACAAACATTTAAAGAAAATACTCTGGAACCAAAGGGGTATTAATGCTATATAGTAGAATAGTTCTTTGTTTTATATAGTATTCAATTTCTCCTTGCTTATATCTATACATTTTTATTTTAAAGGAAAAGTGAGAGCAAGGGAGATCTTCCATCTATCTATTCACATCCCCAAAATCTGCAATATTATGGGACAGGTCATAACCAGGAGCCTGGGACTCCCCTGAGTTTCCCATGTGAGTGCCAGGGACTCTATCCACACGCCATCATCATCAGCTGCTTCCTAGGATTGCATCAGCAGGAAGATGGACC